CAAATATACCTTTTCTATATGCTATCATGTAGATATATAGCACAACCTGATTGAAGTCTGGAGAAGTAGCTAGGTTATAATATGGCAGAATATATACACCACTATAATCTATTAAATAAGTACGGGATATGAGTTCACGGTCGGCACATAACACGTGACTATTGGTGTTTCCAGCACATGTATATTCAACGTAATCTGTTCTCATTTAAACATATAGTATGTCTGTTTGCCATTATCGACGCAATAAAAAAATATTTATTATATAAATAAACAGAATTAATAGATATACCTTTGATGTGATTGATAATAATATACTTGTGTCAACCTGAACAGTAGTAACTAGGCCAAGTATATAATTATAACATGCAATATATCAATTAATTATAAATCACCTCTTGTTTATGTTTCCAGTCACATATTTTATAATTTTAGATTGATTTCAATTAAGTAACAATTTATTGAAAGGGACAGCATAACAAATCCATGTATTTATGTTTGTAATGTTATATCGGTATATTACACATACTAGTACATACAGGTACGCTATTTTTGAAAAACTCGATTGATTAAAGTTATTGCTCTAGTTTTAATTTCAGTTTTAAAGTGTTCTTTTAGAAACCATGGCAACGGATACAAATTTAACTAAATATAAAATTTAAATTCAAACTAGACCGAAGAATTTTTGATCTCAAAGCACTACTCGTATGGACTTCAAATATATGTGTAATATATAAGAATCCATTACCGTCTCAAAGTTAAAGGGATAATTAAACAGGTCAAACGGTTTCAATTCTTTATTTCCTAGTTCCCTTCTTTTACTCACTTGTACTTGTCCTTTGTTTTTTACCTTACACACATTATCATAAGGATGACATCCTAAGGATGTAAAGTTGTGATATGTCCTATTGATACTTCGTCACTACAAGAAATTACACATGCAATCTGAAATCAGAAACATTCCGTTCCTAGAGTTTTATTGCTCGAAGCTTCCCCTAATTCGTATAATCTGTTCTATTTTATGTTCGATACACATTATAGTAAGTAATGGGGAGTCGACAGACTTACAGTTATTTTTATCCGACGTGTAATGTAAATATTTCGCCATCTGAGGGTTCGTTCAAAGAGAGCCGCATCTGAATTTCAGTCGAAGTAAAGAAATAACAATAAACAACAAAGAGTGGGTGACCTCGCGTGGTAATATGTAAAACATATTGAGCTAAAACTTTTTCAGACGGCAGGTACGTCTTTCATCTTATGACTTTGTGGTGATATCTAGGTATTTATTTCCAAATACAAAACATTTTATCGAATTCCTAGACTAGATCTTACTCATATATGCTGAATAACAGTCATTTATTTTTGTTATGATGGTTCAGAAAACGTTGTTGTTTTGTTCATCAATCAAAGATTATTGAACATTTTCCCTCTACCTCATTTCTTGATTATCTCGAAATTAACTTTATTAAAGAAACGTATATATATATTGTACTAATATTATAAACTCAAAAGTTTGTGGGTATAGACGAAGGATGGATGTTCGTTATTATTTCACACAAAAACTACTGAACGGATTTTGATGAAGCTTTACTTACTGTAAAATTATTGTACATCAGCTATAAATTTCATGCGGGTAAAATTGCAGGTACAGCTAGTAACATATTATTTAGGAATTCTGAAAAATTTGCTTCTATAAATTTACTATATTTTCTTATTGTATCATTTGTGTACACAATAAAGAGTTTTGTTATTATTCTTTAACTGTATTTAGACATGTTAAGTATATGTCTAATTTAAAACTAAAAATAATGGAATGTCACATTAAAATCCGACTACTTCTAAGCTTATTCTGTAGAGGTAACTTCAGTAGACCCATACGGAGATTAACTAGGGACCTACTACTAGGTTATACACGGATGCGACTATCGTAGAAATCTCAATTATTATATTCTTATAGTTAACAAAACTTTCTAATAATAACATAGAATAGATTAGATATATATATGATATACACTCAGACAAGTTAGGACGTTGTAATGTTTGGTGTTAAAACGTTTGATGGGTGTACAGATTTATGCAAATATTAGCCTCTTGTGTTGATCATGTCTGCCAGCTTGGATGCTAAATAATTGTGTGGACAAATCGAATTCCTTCGACTGTCAAATAATTAAACAGTCGTTTCCTTATTGTTACAGAATAATTTCAAATATAAAAATTACATGTATTAATGATTAACAACAAGTGATGCATATTTTTATAAATAATAAGTGACTCTGCGTTAATCTAATATTTTTGGCATTATTGGATTCAATTTAATTAATAATTTTATCCTCACTGTTATCGCTTTACTAAAAAGACAACAATCATCTTTAGTCCTCTTTAAAACTTATAATTTAAAATGATAGGTACAAAATATGTTTTCTTTGTTATTGTAAAATTCATATAATTGCCATTATAATGAAATAGAAATAAGTGTCCCCATAAAGAACGATATAAATTCACTAGTCTTCACTGACTTCCTTTTAAACACGACGTTTTAGCTTCATTTAGTTGGAGGTCGGCCTACACCATGTCTGCCTATACGAGGTCAAGTCAAATACCTTGCTCCTCATTGGTTACCGATAATTAACATGTAGGTACATGTAATAGACACCTAAGTAATTCAAGGATGTTACATATACGTATATATCCATACGAGTACTTATAAGTTAATGGATACGTTCACAATTTTGCAATTATAAATATTTGCAGTAAATAGATCAACTACAAACAGCTACAATTTATATTTATATGAATAAAAGAAATATGTTTTGTAAATATTAATTTATACGCAACATTTTAAGTAAAAATTTAAATCAAGTTGTTCTATATTATTTAACGGTACTTAATGGAAAATGAATACAGTCTTTTAATAAGGACTTCATTATGCAACATTTTTTTATTTATATCTTATTTACTTAAACATAAAACAGGAACTTAGAGTAAAGACTGGTTAAACTACTCATTATGTATTTACATGTGTACATTATTATTATAATAGAAAACGGCCACAATTCCATTTTATCACGTTATAAATTGAAATTAATATTATCATCATTGGCTGTAATTGAATGTCTTATAAACAGCTTATTTACAGCTCTGACTTTTATTTACCTATTATTCCGTCTATTAAAAAAGATAATCTACAACTTTATTATAATATATTTACACGTTAATTAATTCTAATGCAAACTAAGTCTTACAAATGTGTCAGGTAGGTAAATTTCAATATTACAAAATATGTAGCTGGCCTGGTAAAGATCGTTTGTTTCGTTGAGTTGAACATCAAAAAGAAAAAAATGGAATAAAATTAATTCTTTTAATTAAGATTCTCCATGTTTTAGACACAGACAAATTAAACAAAACAAATATTCAAAAACTGATCTATTTTATTTATATAAAGTAATAATAATAATATATATAAAAATAATAAAATAACATATTATATATGTGAGGATAGATAAATCTATATAGATTACAATAGCATCTGTAATTTCAGCAAATCATCTTTACGTTTCATAATAGTAAATTGCTATTAGCTCATGGGCCTCATTATCATACGTACCTAATATAAAAGACCTGATAAATAAACCGAATAAATACATTGCCTGGGCATAACAATAGGTGTCTCTGTAGATACTACGAGATACTAGACAATGAAACGGGGGCAAAAATAATAATAGCAAGTCATGAGCCAATTAGTATTACTTTTGAGGTGTTAACAGACAAATGAAATCAGTGTATATATAGACCTTGTTTTAGAGAAAAAAACTCTTCATTGTAGCTATTGAGATGAAAACTTGGCGCTAATAATCTATTTTTTACTATTGATTTAGAATCCTGCATTTATGAGTAGGATATTTAATATCATAATATGTACTTATTAATATTGAAACTATGACTTGGCAATTAAAGATACAATGATACAATAATATTGTAATGAGGTAAGATTATTTTCTTTATGTTGGTTTTGTAACGGACAAATTCATAAAGTACTTTTTTTAAATACCGAATTTTTTATATATTTTTCACTTTTAGTTACAGTATCAGCGAGTAATATATGTAAATACTCATTAATTAAAAAAATCATTATAGTGATCCCCACACAGTTATGTCATTCTTTTGCTTATTTTATGTTTGTAATAATACAATATGTTAATAATCATCCACCATATTTAATATAAATTAAATATGGTGGATGATTATTAACATATTGTTACATATTGATAATAGTATTTACACCTTATTAATAACTTAAATTTGACATTATTATATTAGTATCTACGTATTAATTAACACAAAAATTCAGCTTAAAGGAGGAAAACATTATACAATTAATCTTTTCCGTATCGTGTCTACACATTTAACTATAGCTCACTTACGTTAATTGATATTGTTCATTGCTTTATAAAATAAAAAAAATGTAGTTATTGTACGAATATATCATTTCCTACTCTTTGTTTTTACAGTGTTAGACCTCTTATACAGCTAATTCACATATAAGATTGGATAATACCAATATCTGTACACAGATATTGGTATTATGATTACTTAAAATAACGTGATACAAATTATATAACATTTTTAGCTATCTAGGTAATTATGTATACCAGAATTCTAGATACTTATTAGATATACCAAATTGTCGTTCCAGTTAGTTGTAAAATGTTGTAACAAGTGCTATCCTCTATACTATAAGACATGAACAGTACCACGAACGTCATGTTCTCTTGTGGTGCCCTTCACGTGTTGCCTGAGGACTAATGATGTTATGCCTCTATGTTCATTGATTTAAGCCATACGTGGAACAGTAACAGGGCTTAGAAGCAATCTGCTTACTGGCAGAAATTAGCGAAATAGAGTTGTCCACGCTGACAACTTTAGTGTTTCAATCTTACTGTAACTTACATATGACGGTAATGTATCGTCAGTACACTAAGATAGATATATATTTTTTGTTGCAGAACGGATTTGTAGAGTGTCGAAGTGGCGCAGAAGAGTGTGGACAGATGGAGGACTGTGCTGTGCAGATGCCTCGTGAGGGTTGCTGTGCTCGCTGCAAAGGGTGCTGGTACAACGGCACTGAGCATGCTTCTCACACCGAGTGGGGGGATGACGGCAGAGTGCTTCGCTGCGAAGCAGGTGTTATCACCATCTCCAAACCAGAGTGCTATGCGCCTTGTGAGCGACCGAAACATCAGCGGCACACACATTACAATTGTCCTGTCTGTGATGGTAAGTAACGATGAAACAGTGTTTTTAGATTGTCATTGTTTTTAAATATACTTTCTTTACATTTCGTCTACGATTTCATTAAAAATGTTTAAGTATTTTTTACTAATTACTTCATAAGTATTTTAATATTATGCAAATAAATAGGTAGGTATATAACTGCTACGAATAAATTTTCTTTTAAACGTAAACTACGGGAATATTATTTGAATTTATAACTTTCTCTCTTCTCTGAATTCACTTTTTTTCCATTTAACTCTCTTTAGTTCTGTGACTGTCAAACTATTTGGTATATATTTAAGTTTATTGCATATATATGTGTGTATTTATGTGTATATAGGTATCATATTTGTATATATTTATGTTATATATTATTGTATCTCTTAAGTATATATATATATTGTATATATATTTATATTTTGTTGCATTTTGTTTATGTTTATAATTTTGCACCGCCAACAATTATTCTCTGCACCACCAATGGTTGACTGGTAGAAAATGCCGCATGGTGTTAAGTCCGCCAAATGTACTATACTATATATTATATTGTGTGCATTAAAGTTAAATAAATAAAATAAATAAATATATTTCATTGTATGATGAAATTTGACAGAAATAATTTCTTGTAATGTTACAGGTCATGAAATTACTTCTCTAATGGGCTGTAATAATAATTATTGTGCATCAGAATTAGTTGAACTTGATATAATGCAATATTCGAAATTAAAATTAATTTCATGGTTTTATTATTAATATCTCACATAATTGCTCAAGCAATCATTAGACGACTCTGAGTGCAGCTCTGTCGATTAACTAATAAAAATAAGCCATCATGTATTAAAAAAATAAACCCAATTACTTGATTGACTGATTCTATTGCCCCGTGAGTAATAATTTAAGTAAGTAGAAAACGGAATGACTCTGAAGAATCGACAAACCAATTTACGGTGCATTTTCCCACTCGAATCCACCTATATTGTTTAAAGAATATAATTGTCGGGCGGCGCTGGCGCAGCGGTGTCTCGGAGCGCGCCCACCCAGACTTGTGTGCAACAAAAAAGAACCTCGATGATCCCATACAAAAACAAACACACGCCGCCACGCGAACTTAATAAAACCAAAACTTGAGGCTATTTACCTCCGCTCCCAAACCCTAACAAGTTTATTAATTCTATATCAAATAATAGTAATTTACAAGATGACGACTCGGGAATCGCTTTTGTGTGAAGCCGACGCATTCCATTCTATCGATTTATTATATGTGTTTATGTTATATTAATTACACTGGATAAAAGCTAATTTTCACTGTAAAATAGAGATTAAGATGTGTTAACATAAATGCTGAACTAATAAACTGAGCGACCAGATCTGATATCTCATTGCATAAATCTTTGCTTGGGATTTATGGTGATGTTTTTCTTCTGGTATTAGAGATATACTTATCTTACGTTTGTTAATATTGATACTAAATCTACAAAAGCAATAAATTTAGGTTACGTATCTAGTTTTTGTCATAGAAACATGAATAAAGGTGCGGCGAAGTTAATTAAGGAAGTGCAGGACTGTAATTCTTTGTAAATTGCAAGTCATATTTCATGTCTTATATAAAAAGCAAGGTGGCTGCATCGCCCACACGCCGCCATTGACAATGGCATAATGCACAAGACTTGTTGCGCAGTAGCATACCTCCAGACAATAGACCACTCTGCTATAATAACTCGATCCGCGAATAGCTGGATATGACTTATTCTTAAACAACGAAGTGATTAATGTGTCTATATCCATATAACTCAATATTGTCAGCCATTATTTAGATGAAGGTCAAAAAAACTTGAAATATATAGTGGACAACCCACCCATATACCTACTATTCTCGGTTCAGGTATGAACTGTTTGTATAGAAGCTGGCGCTATGTTCTGATCACTTCGGGAAGATTTTATAAGCCATAAAACACTTAATCGACCGTGAAGTAATATTATGTTGATTGCGAAGGCTTTGTTTCTCTGTCTACGTGTTATACAAAAAGAAATTAGTTTATGTATTTTAGTAATGACGGCGCCGAGATGTTTCTTTATTTTTTATGCCAAACAGACCACACGCGTACGCACCACCTTAGATTTTCACAACCAAAAGCGATTCCGCTTGTCATCATTTTAGAAACAAATGGAATTCATTTTAAAAATGAAATAAGTTCTTATTATGGTATTCACGGGTATTCATTAATATAATATATTTGTGGTCAAAGTCTCCCACGGCGTTGCGTCTCTATTATTGACCATAAATCAAAAAGTTAACAACCTACTTACGAGATATAGAGGCGGGAGGGTTTTTGTCTGTTGGTCAAAGCGACCGACGACCATTCGGCTGCGGGATTTTAGAGGTGTGTTCTGTGTTTGTTTGTTTTACGATCCCAACGGTGCATTAGGTTTTTTGTTCTCTATACTTCTTGTTATTCCTCCACGATTTCATCTTATCAATGTGATGGTTACTTTTTATTTGGGACCGACTTTAAACTAAATATATACTTAATTATAACAAAATTAGGGAATTGAATAAAATTTGTAAAGTTATAATTGATATAAATATTTATTAACAACTACATTACAACTAAACTATATCAAGGAAATATTAATAGTTTTAAGAAAACTTACGTGTATCTAGATTGACTAACTGTCCTTTATCAAAAAGCCTAGTACCTACTAAGTGATCAATAAAATAAGAATGAATAATAATTTTTAACAAACTAAGCTATCTGGTCCTATCACTTTTTTTACATTGATCTCATATACCTTTCTATAATGTGATAATAATAGTAATTTTCTCACCTGACTGGGAAAAGATGGAGGTTCCTAATTTGAAAATATTCTTCTGTGTTTATCTTCGACAAAACGAACAGATTGTCAATTGTTTTCCAATTGAAAGAGGTCCGATTCCGAATTTTAGTTTGGTAAAACATTATGTAATGTAAACAATAAATGTAAAGTAAAACAATAAATACAGTGGAATTTCGTTTATTAAAAATTAATATAACCAACAGTATCTAAGTACTTACTTGTAATGATAAACGCTGTGCGTCACAAAATTAAAAACGCTTTACTCATTGAAATTCTCTCAGCGTTTTGAGGTGCGTCGTTATTATTAGGTATGCCTGCGTCGACGGCCCGAGAAATTGAAATAATTAGCGAGTGATATACGCACTCTACGTGCATCGAATTATTTGATTGTAGTTAGACATGTATACCATCTTACATATAGCCGACTAGGTAAGTATACTAAGCTGTAACCACCAGCAGTCATACATATAATTTTAAAAACTTTCTTTAATGACAATATTTATATTTTTTTAGTAATTCATAAGTGACCACGGGGTTTCATGAATGAAAAACAACATAATTTACAACAAAATAAAGCATATAAAACTTTGGTTAGTAGACAATACCTATCTCATCTGGGTAAACAATCGTTAAGAAATATATATCCATCAACTATGTGTCAATAGGATACTCTTTGAAGAAGATATTTAAATTTAAATTTTAGGAAACTTCATCGGGTAACATTGTATATATGTCGTATTTTGTTCACTATAAAGTTTTGAACCGACTATGAATTCTAATTTTTAAACTACAAACTAATTTTTAATCTACAAAAGGATAGTTTATGTAGCCATATTTAGTTTTACGGCAAACATTCGTATGTTCGTTTTCTTTATATTCTAAAACTCTGCGGACCCATGGTGGTCTCTACATTGGTATTTGAGCAAGTTTTTTAATGAAAGCATATATTATGTAGACACTGTCATTACATTGTATACAGCTAATTAAATAATGAAATGGTAAAACTAATATTAAAGGATAGAAGTGCTTTAAAGTTGAAATGTGGACAGAATATAATTAAATACATTTTAGCGTGGATCGTTTTTCAACGATTATATGTTATTTTTTGTACGTCTATTTCCTTTTTTAAAGTACTAAGTATTTTGAAGAATATACGCACATAATTGCATATAGTAATTACTTATCAACATTGAACGAAACAAAATTGAATTAACATGTATTGGAGATAATGTAGTCGTGTAGAAATATCTTCACAATGTTTAATTGTTGGATTCTTATCGTTTTCTACAAGTTTCCATGGCAACACGCATAGAGAGATATATCTATGGTAAAAACAATAATTATCATTATCTAATAATACCTACATACATTAATTTCCATATCAAGTTGATTTAATCGATGTAAGCGGATCGTAGGTATCACTGTTTGCTATTAAGTATTGACCCTCATTTTTATGTAAGTTAATCTAAATAACTTGATTTTTTTTAACAATATATATATATATATATATGAAGTGAATTATCCACTCACTTCATATATATATATATTGTTTAGATATATGATCTAAGTAACCTATCTAACTAATCATTAATGGTTTAAATGTTTCAGTAGACTGAACAGTAGTACTACTGAACCGTCATTATAGGTTATTTAGGGGTCTACCATTCTTTCCTGTCCTTGTTATGAACAGTGAAATTAAAAAATAGTTCTGGACAAAATAATTTCTTTTTTAAATGGACTTCATTAGAAATATGTCCTCAAAAATAATCTTCAAAATTGGTTTACAGTTGGAAAAGATATCGTGAAGTCTTTTCCAATTGTTAAACAAAATTAAGGATTATTTTGCAATCGAAATAGTATACGTCCATTTCTATAAATCAAAACAATAAGAATACAAATATTCATATTTTCTTAATGACAGTCAGCGTTTTTTATACAATATAATACTTTACTGTTCATACTAATACTATAAAATCTAAAGTGAGTATATGAGTTTGTTTTCAAGACTAAACGGCTGAACGGATCTTAAAGATGTTCTTTTTTGTACCACGTAAGTGGCAAGCAAGCATACATGCCATCTGATGGTAAACGGTTACCGTAGCCTATGTCCTATCTAAAAAAATATCCGGCAATGAGTAAAATAAGGAATGAAAGTTTGGAGATAAAGTTGCAAATAACAATTAATTCTTAAGTAACTAAAATGTAAATATTAAATACCCCGTTTATTTATGTTCTTACCTAGTATAAATGAAACATTTTATAGTCATAAAAATGATTTTAATGTACCCATTCTATATATATTAATAGACGTTGCTCAAATTATTTTGTTAAAAATATTAAATAGCTAAAAAAAACTTATCTGTTTGTTGTATTCAGTAGGGTCGCACTGCCGTAGAGATAGATACCTTCATAATAAAGGACTCATTGGTCTCGTCGTGTGCGGCCGCCAATGCCTCCTCATTCATTAGCTCCTGATTGATTCATCGTCCATCTTCACTAATTTATTGTGTTCTTTGCGCATCTACCGACCCGAGCCTCATTCCGATTTGCCAAACAATAGCCGACTCTTTTGTTTAAGCTTTCATTGTCTATTTTTGCCATTGTTGCTCTTATTTTTAGTAAGATAAAGAAGCTTTTAAATAATTAACAAAATGTTTTAGCGTAAAAGTAAAATCAATATATTTCCATTTAAATACCTATATTGTAGTCGTAGGAAGATAGGTAGCTATGTAAGATTGCTAATGAATTTCATCAGGGGTTTTGTTATATCTAACTCCATTAGAAAATATCGTAAGTATAATAAAATAAGATAACTTCTTTTTTTTATTTTACTCAACAATGTATAATATTAATTTATATTTCAAAGATATATAATATTAACTGTCTAATTTAGATGTTATACATTATTATTAAGCATTTTTTTTATAATATTATAAACATCTTACTAATAATATAAACATGGCTGTTTGCTTGTTTGTAGATGGATAGATGAATGTTACTCTTACATTAAAAAACTTCAGAATGGATTTAAATGAAAATTTATAAAAATATATAGCTAATACATCAGAATAACAAATAACCTATAAATTTCATGCGGTTGAAACTGCGGACAATACTAGTAAAAAAAATCCTATCTGTATGTATATATATCTAGATATATATTAATAATATATCACGGTATATAAGAATTAGTATGTATGGTATGCGTTTATTTGTATTATACTGTTAAATATTACTTAAATATGAAAATATACATATATATCTATAACTTGATTTCGGTGATTGCAATATTCGTTATACTGAGTTAATTTATAAATAAGCCGTTGTAAGGTATATTTTTATACTTAACTAGCCGTTCCCGCGACTTCATTCCGTGTGGTAATAAACTTTATTTTTCTAAAATAAAAGAACTTTAGTAAAATAAAAGTAGCCTAAGTTTATCCTTATTACATCAGCTACCTGCCAAAAAAAGTCCCGTTAAAATGGGTCCAGCCATTTCAGAGATTAGCCGGAACAAACAGATAGACAGACAGACAAAAATTTTAAAAAATGTTATTTTAATTTCTGTACCGTATTTATATTCATATGCATGTAATAATAAACGGTTATTTCAATATTACAAACAGACACTCCAATTTTATTTATATGTATAGATATAGGTGCATAGATAAGCATCTTGTACTCGTGGTCTAGTGATTACTGCCCCACTCCTGTTTTATGGTATAACGGCGTGAATTAAATTTTGGACGACACCAAACAAACTATATACGTATGAGTTAGGTACTTACTTACTGTTAATCTGAGGCAAAAACACCGTTAAAAATATTCTGGAAAAGTTAGGCGCACTTCTTAATACCGTTTGATTCAGATATACCTATACAGTGAAATCGGGGCATCAAATATTCAACATGACATTTATTTATTTATATATATTATGATATTGTTATGAACCATTATACTACTATTTTCAGAATGTATAATCAATGGACAACGTGTATGGGAAGGGCGCGATGTAAGGATTCCCGAAGAGCCGTGTCTGTCTTGTCGCTGCGTGCTGGGTGCACTGTCCTGTGCTAAGCGTGCTTGTCCCGTATTACCCTGCCATCACAAACAGCAGTACACACCGCCGGGAGAATGCTGTCCGCGGTGCGCACATCCCACCTCTGATAAATTACTGCCCAGTAAGTTTAAGTCAGCGTGTTATATTTATATTCTATATGAGATAGTTGGAGAAAATCGATTTCTAACTCCATGTACACGTATTACTGACTATATATACTTTCATAATGCTTTTTATATATATAAACCGGTTCCGCAAACATTTATATAGTATAATTATCAGAAAAATGCACTTTATCTATTCTTAATAACCGAGATAGGAAGTAGCCATATTTTTTAAATCTTAAATTCTACACATTATAATTGGTTTATGCTTTAATATGCATAAAAGAGTAACAGAAATACAAGTTAACTGACTTTCAGATTTATTTAATTTTTAGGTTTAGTTTATAGACTTAAAAGTCTATAAATAATGTAAAATCCCTTTTTAAGTATATCGTAATATTTTTTTTACTTTATAAAACCAATATACCTAGTTGCCATACTTGCCATACTATATGCCATTATTTTGACTAAAATATATGAGTGACGACTCATTTTTCATCGCAGTTTATTCGTTCGTTTTAACGTAACCTTATTCTATAAATGGCACATCAAACTCAAAAAGAAAATGAAAATATTCCCCTAACATTCATTCTCACAACCCAACTTTACCTCTTTACAATATTAGTATATAGATTTACGATATAATTTTTTCATTGTTAGAATAGAATTTAAAATATTTAAAAAATACAATGCATCCTAAAGTAATGGAATATACAATATTTATATTTAAAGGTTTTATAATCTCTAATTTCATTCAGTTTCAGGAAACACTATAGCTAAACCTTGCGTTATCGGTAAAGAATACCATTATCATCTCAGCAAATTCCGAGTGGATCCATGCACAGATTGCACTTGTCTAAATGGGACTGCGGTATGTTCTCGACATACTTGTCCTGTATTAACATGTGGAGCTAGGGCACTTCCACCACCACCAGAAAAGTGCTGTCCAGAATGTCCTCAAGTAGAAGAGGCCAAAGCCGCATGTGTTATTGGCGGTGCTGTATATCAGGTATCAAAAATTTTATTAATTTAATTTGATATTCTGATATTTCTGTTACTATTAGATATTATTTGTGTATTTTCTTATTTTATAGGACGGTGAAACATGGCAGTTGGATGCGTGTAAGTCCTGTGAGTGCCATAGCGGAGAACCCCGTTGCGCGATGGAAAGATGTCCTACATTGACATGTCGATCGGACCAGACGGTGCAGCATTTGCCCGGCCATTGCTGTCCTAAATGCGTGGATGCAGATGGAATTTGTACTGTCTTTGGTGATCCACACTACAAGACTTTCGATGGAAAGTTTTATAGTTTTCAAGGATCATGTAAGTACCAGCTGGTATCTGACTGCGACAATAACACATTTTCGATTAGAATATCGAACGATGCAAGAAATACTTTACATTCTTCATGGACGCGTACTGCGACACTTCGAATAGGTTCAACGAGAATAAATATGGGCAGAAAAATGCGAATAAAAATGAATGGACAAAGATTGAGTTTACCTTATAGAATTGAAGGAGTTGGTGATATAACTCGTGCCAACGGATCAGTGTTACTGAAAGCCAATATAGGTGTACAAATGCTGTGGGACGGTGACGGTTTTTTGGAAGTGACTGTATCTAGTATTTACCGTGGCAAATTGTGTGGTCTATGTGGAAATTTCAATTCAGTGGCGAGGGACGACATGCGAACTCGCGATGGTAGACTTTTAAGCGATACGTGGAGGTTCGGAATGTCGTGGCGAGTGGGCGGCAAGCACGCGTGCACAAGGAAACCAGAGCGGCCGAGCAGACAGTCTCGGTGTCGCCAGTCGAAGCAGGTGAGGGCGCGTCGCCTCTGCCGGGGATTTAATCGGTATAGTGCGTTTTCAGACTGCAGTGCAAAAGTGAATCCGCACAATTATAGAGAAGCTTGTGAATTGGACGCTTGTAGTTGTACGGGTACGAACTGCCACTGTGCTGCTTATAGGGCATATGCTCGAGAGTGTACTCGTGTTGGTGCTGAGCCTCATAATTGGGCGCAGGAAGCCTGGTGTGCTGGGGAAACTGCACCATGGTTGAACCGCGGTCGTAAGGGATATGGCCGTGTCGCGAATGTGAAAGAACCGCTGCCGGAACTGAGTGCGATACCCAAGCTGAACAGCACTCGGCCTCGACCCCCGCCTCCTATACTACACTGAGGATTCTTGCAACAACATCGCTACTAGTCAAATCTGCCAGTGTCGCATATATAAGGTAAATATTAATTTTACTCAATTCACTACATAACAACACAGATGTCTTTGTACTTGTTTTTTTTAACATCAATGAGAGACTTCTGTTATATAAAATAAAGCCGCAACATTGTACCACATTATGCTATCTGAGGTGATGTTAATTTATAACTAATATTTACAAATTAGGTTCTAATTAGTCAGTTTTATCGTAGTTATTTTTAAGTATATTTTTATTGGAACCCACAGTGAGTGATTCCGTGATTCATTTTGTAGAAACGGATATCGGAATATGATTGTTATATTCCTAACTAAAATAAATTGTTTGTAAACAACAAAACAACTGTTTGTCACCTATTCTAGTCTGGACCAATAATAGGGAAAATTGGCATATCCTTACATTGCATTTAGGATGAATATAGGTTGCATTTTATTTTTAGATCATTGTCGTGTGGACAATGACACGGAAAGAAGCTAGTATAATAAGGATTGTTGCTTTGGTTCATTCATAAATTCAATTATTTATTTATTTTATTTTATAAAATACATTCATATGTTTTTTTCAGAGTATTACAAGGAGTGGTTTATAAGACGCATCGGAGAATAGTAACCAGCTTTACTTGGAATGAAGATCTATCTACTACTTAACAGTATTCAGAAGACTACTTCTAGTTAAGTAAACAAGTACATAATAATGTTAAGATCAACTTAAAGCTCATTAAATTAGGTACTGCCTCGCAAATTTCAACCAGCATTTTGTTCAAATCATAATAATGTATAATTATTTATCCAAAGATATTTTATGTAGAAATTATAAATTCAGCCAATATAAAATACCTATTTACTTTTTTATAGATTTCTGGTATACTCTCAGTAGGCATATTAAGATATAAATAGTAATCAAAAAGAAAAATCTCGACTTTATCTTACAATATGATAATGATAGTTATCGATTTCTTAATACGGTATCGAGTTAAAACGCTCTAGCTACTTAACTTAGCGAGTGATTTAATACAAATCTCCCACGTTTGAAGGGTTACATTTATAAACATCGCACAATTACAAAACGTTAGTCCCGTATATAAACATTTTGAAATTTGTATAGGAACTTATTGTAAATCAAATTATTTACCTTAGTCATTAACATAATGTATTCATTTTATTTGATTTATAACATAATATCTGTTAATTGACATTCCAGCAAAAACCATATTCTAGTGAGCATGACTGCTTACAAACTAAATCTAATATTAGTATTTTTGCTAAATAAATGTATTCACTTATAAACGTGGTAGTACTGTACCAATCAAGGATAGGTACAGATAGCTAGTATTTCTAGTTTAAGAGTAAGTATATTTGTATTTTAAAATAATAGCCTCTCTGTTGGTTGTAAGTTGAGTGCCTAGCAGAAGTGTTTCATATTAAATAAATTTAATAATTTATTTATTACATTTTTTCCAACACTGAACGTTCAATAAAATGTGATAATTAGCTTTGAATGATATTTCAGGCAACGTTTATTCGGAAACGTTCAGAGGAGCGTTTGGTAAAACATAGTTCAAATTGAGATCTCATCCGTAGGTAGTTCTTTATGAAAACTTAGATAAACCTAGCTATCTGAAGCCAAGAAGCTAATGAATTTGATAAACACACGGTATGTACATAATACGTAATACATTGAACAGTAAATTTAGTTGTAACATTAACTAAAGACTCGTTCTTAGTTTATAATACGTTACCAATGAATTTTAATTTTGACTTAATTAAATTATGTTAAAGTAATCTATTACATGCTAGTGAATTGTAATCCATATATAGATATCTAAGTATGGTCGAAAGAAACTTGAATGGAGAAGTTAGAACTGAATTAGAAGTTAATGTGTATTATACCTACCTAAAAGGTATTTCGGCTGAGAATATTTTTACTCAACCTATTATTTGTGTAAAATAGTTTTATTTATATATATAGTAAGTATTTTAAGGTATTGTGACGTCACCGCCCTCTGTTAATTTATTTAAATGAATAATGAAGAGATCCTACAAATATTAACACGTATTCTAATTAAAGTATAAGTCTTACACTTCTCCATTGTTTATTTTTTTAATTTACCTAAAAATGTTAAGTGCTTAAATATATTTATAAATAAGTAGTACACGTGTGGGATCGTCGACATTTTCCTGCACGCATACCGCTTCTCTATAAATAGGCTAAGTGCCATCGAATATGGCTTATTTGACAAAATTGTGATAATGTGTGTTTCTACTTTGTGAGATTGTCTGTTGTAAGTCCTGTTTACTAATATAGCTGATTATCTTATACCTAGATTCTCTAATTACCTTTAAATTTCAGATATATATAAGTACTGTTGATTTAAATATACGACATACTTTTGTGTTCTATATTTATTACCAGCAAATATATTATGTATACCTAAGTATTATGTGTACACATAAAAATGCTAAGTATAGTATTCCACGCATTAGCTTTCTGTATAAAAGCATTTGAGACAATCGATGTTTATTAAATTGCTCTCGTTTTATATCTTATACCTATTTATTAAGTTTAATTCCTGTCTATATTTTTAATCTATTTTATACTTATTATTATTAAGGAGGGTCTACGTTTTATGTAGGCTTTAAATTATTTGTGACTTTCATTTGGTATTTATAAGTATTAAACTAAATCGAATTTTTATTTTACAATCAACCAATTTTTATTTACCATATAACATAAAAATAATACTTTGTGAACATTATTATTTTACAATTTGTCAACTTATGCCGTTATGGCTGTTTAGTATTGATTTACAGGTAGACATACATCTAATTGAACGATCCACGAAACTTGGTAAGTAACTATGTTTAAAAGGTAGAAATTCAAATGCCATATTAATAAATAAATAAAATATTTATTTATACACAGTTCGGTATACCTATGTGTCATATAATTGTTGAAATTATATTAGTGAGTAAGATTGTCATAACGATATATTTCGCTTTACGCGCTAATATTTGTAAAATTATTGTCGAAACGGTTTGCAAAAATAAATATTGTAAGCTATTAAACGAAAAAAAACCTAATAATAAATAATTATTATTAAATTGTATTTTCATTTACCTACTGAAATAAATAATTTTAAATGAAATTTGGAATAACGTCTCAAATAGACCTATTACTTGTAGCTGGCTGCTCGCCAAATTTGCTGGATTTTATGTCATCAAAATTATCTAGGACAATTTGGCGTCCGCTTTAAAAGCTGGGGATTCATTATATTTATCTTGAAGAAAAATCTTAAGAAACTAAATATAATTCTGCCATGAATGTTATTTTAGAGTCATTCTTGCATAATATTTCGTGTTAAATGTGCTATAACAAATTGGATGTTGAATACAGAGTGTTCAACGGGTTTTTGAATTATTAAAAATAGTATTAATTTAAACATAGATAGTAGAATAAAAGATTTATTAATAAGTAGGTATAAACATTACGCAGTCACACACATCAATTAAACAAGAACAAATATTATTTTGTACAATACATACATAATACTTTATGTTATAAGATCGCAGTTAGATATTGAACTTTCGTAATCTTAATGTTAAGTGATCTTGTCCAATGTTTCCAAGTTTCGAAAGGTTGAAGTACCAAGATGTAGAAGTAACTTAAATTAAACATAAATATAGAAAAGAATAGAAGTATAGTATTTATTCTCCTGTCATCATTTCCATGAATTCTGCAACAAAAATAAATAAATATTAAGAATATATTGTGGATAGAAGTTTGAAAAATAAAATAATGAAACATAAATCTATTCGACTCGTATTTACATTAAATTACATGTTCTTGAGTATTAATTACATTTTTACATACCTACTGGATACGATTATTATATTTTAAAGAAATACCTATATTTCATATTACCCCATGAACCACATTCTTCACATGATGGTGCGTACTTATGTATCTACTATTATAAGTTATATTTGTAGTCTTCTGGAAACGTAGAACTCGACGAGATAATATATCATTTATATTGTCCCACTATTAGAATAGTAGGTCATATTAACTAATATGAAACAAACAACCCCTATTTCATGGAAGTTGAAATATTTCTTAAGTGGATAATTACGACTCTATACCCTATATAATACTACTTTTTATTTAAAAAAACCTACTACTTACCATCAAAGTCTACCGTACCGCTGCCGTCAGTGTCGATTTCCTGGATTAGGCCGTCTAGTTCTTCGTCTGTCAGTTGTTCGTCCAACTCACGCAGAATCTCGCGCAAACTCGATGTGGGAATGTAACCGTTGCCTGAAATAAATTATATATTCAATTTAAACACAATTTTAATATTTGCGTCACGACAATATAATTATTAAGTAGGTTCTCTAATTATTATTATTCGAAAACCATTAATAATAATAATATCTCAGGACAACTAACATAGAGTAATCTAGTCGCAATGTAGTGCAGAGCTTGTGTCATGGGTACATGACAACTGGTGTAAATACTTACAAACATCTTTTTTTGTAAATACATACATAACATATATAGAAAACACCCAGACCGATACAAACAATCATACTCAAGAATAAAAATATTTGTACCATGCGAGGAATCGAACCCGCGACCATCAGAAGTAAATGGGTGTGCTGTACCGCTACACCACCGAGACTGTCTTAACTGCTTTGTAGAACGAACCAAGTTAATGCGTATCCCTGTTCATTGGAAGTAGAGCGGTATAATATATTGTCGTGCTGACACTTATTTTTTTTAAATATTAAGTTTAATAGCACTCATCTTAATTGTCCCTCATTTTATTATACAGACATACGTATAATAAGTAGTGAAATATATTTTATTTCATAATCGGGACCAAAAATTATATGGTCTGAATATAACTAATCTTAAGCATTTAATGAGAATTAATTCACACTCAGCACGTTGTTGTACTTCTGTACTACTGCAGTACTACACTATTACTCGTGCATTTAAGCTTATTTTAAAGATTCTCGCCTACTTCCTCAAATAGTGTATGATAGATATCCACTACCAACAACTAAACCCCTAATCTAAACTTTACAACTTTGAGTCAGTGCCAAACAAACGGCCAACAGAGCAATTAGTATATTAGGCAATCGCCGGCGGTACTTTGAGCATTGATTGTCGATGAACGATTATCTACGCAAAATGAGACACAATATCTCAAGGTATGCACTGCGTCAAGCAATTTTTTTCTATTCAATGAGTAACGATTTACATCCATGCTGGGACACATGTTTCAGCTTTACACGAAACATTCAGACAATTAATTAACAAGAGCATGAAGACCCAGTGTTAACCTTTCAGTGTCCAGATTCTAATTTGTTACCTTAATAAGAAAGAAGAGCAATAGAAACAAACTAATTTATATTTGACTTTTCAATTCTAATTAAATATAAAGAAAAACAAATGCATTTAATACGAAGAAGTAGATTTAATACGCTATTAGGTACATTCTATCAGCTCAAAAACGGGGCACAATTTTAGGAGGCCATCAGTTTTATTTCAGTATATATACTGATATGTACATACATATTTATTATACGTTTGAATGACTTCAAACGTATAAAAAATATGTATAGCTAAAATATGTTTAGTTAGGTAGTTAACCTAAATTAGATTAATTTTGGTCGGTCCAAATTCGTTAAATTTGTTTATATTTTGAATACAGAAACTCCTGTTTCTATTTTATATTGGGTAAGTAAAGCGATAGTTCTTACCTTCCTTGTCATATAATCTAAATGCCTCTCTAAGTTCTTTCTGCATGGCCTCAGTATCTTCCTCAACAATAAACTTGGCAGCCAAGGTGACGAACTCTCCAAACTCGAGACGGCCAGATTCTGAAATAATATGGATATAAATTGTTGAATTAAGTTTGATACTCGTATGCAGTAGAATTTTAAACGTGCATAGATGCGGCATGTGTAGATACACAATATGATGACCTACCACAATATGATGCCCTCGTATGTTTCTAACGAAAATATGTTTATGTTGATAATATTATATGTACTTATAATACGGTATTACATTTCTTTATTAAAACTATATCGCCTACCTTCGACATGTAGCAAATTTGCTAGTTGTCATATGGTCATTGAGTACATTTATTAACATCCTACGCATAATAAATATATATTATTATTTATTAATAACTTTATAGTAGATTTACAAAATTTACAAAATCTATTTTTACAGGTGTCTGTAGATATAGCTTAGCTACTTGAGTCCATTATTAAATATATAAAGGATCTCAATTTGAAGATGTATATAAAAATAGACTATGTTTTATAAATAACTACTCAACCACTATAAAGCAATATTAATATTCTTCTCTATCCAATTATAAATACTTATATTAAAATAGATACCTACGCAAAACAGTTTTTGGCACAATTATAGATCAATGACCTACACCAAAGTGAAATAAAGTTTTCCACAGAAAAACAGTAGGTATATTTAATACTCACTATCGGCATCGACTTCCTCGATGAGTTCTTCAAGGATTTTCTTGTTAAAAGGCTGTCCCATCATCCTAAGGATGTCTGCGACGAAGTCACAGGGGATACTGCCTGAGCGGTTGTGGTCGAAGCCATCAAATGCCTTGCGCAGGACTGGAACAAATAACAGTTGTCTTCAAACATCTTAGTCGTACAAACAATGTGACATGGAATGTACTGGAAGTCACTAAATTATACCTTCCATATTGAAGGGATGCATGGTGAAGCAATATCGTTCCTTATTTGAAATCGTTGCTTGATTGTTATGTAATAATTTAGCGTTTTAAGGAGAGAAACTTGCAATGCCTCCTACACTGGCAATAAAAACAGTCACACTGATCGTTCGACGGGATGCGTTAGGATTAGGACAGTAGTTCATTGCACTGAGGTGCAGTGCAAATAAATTGTGCAACGTGGCTATTTCTAGTAACCTAGCGTGGTGAAGCCGACCAGATAGTTACTTGTTGCGCTTCTCGTATATAGGCCAATGATAAATAACAATTAAATTTAAAATAGTCGAAATGGTCATTCATTAGAAATAATGGAGTGTAACACTACAAAGGCAGGAACCTAAAGGGCATCAAGAGAGATAAAATCTGCGGTAACTATAATATTATCATCAACCAGTTTGAAAGTGTCATAAAAGCGTCATAATATTTAATAGAGACATAATTATATTCAAACTTATATATTTGAATTTGCGTCATAATTTTATAAACATGAAGAGATATAAAGCTTACAAAAATAAACTTCTCCACATTTTTTAATGACTTGCCTGAAAGATAAACAGGTGTAGCATGGTTAGTCATTATTCATGAAGTTTTTAATCTTTATTATAGTAGAGAACCCCATTATTATATATACGTCAGTTAAAAAAAAATTGTAGATAGAAGCATATATTCTTATATACTGGCAATATATATGGTGCTCCATTATAGACACTTACGATAATTTTTCTTTTGTTTCTTAAATTTTTTAATGTTGTTTTTTTTAATGTACAAAACATTAAAAAAACAACAACATAAACAAAATTAAACGATTTAAGAAACAATCATCATCATCTTGACTGATTTCTATAATTTGGGTAATTTTATTTAAATCAGCCGCGGTGATGAAGGTTAACTTTCAGTCGTATCAGCCCAACCCTATAGGTAAGCACAATGTTCTGGTTCCACGTAAATAAAATTATATACATTCTTTTTAATATTCATATTAAGTTTTAAATAATTACATTTGTATTAAAGACTACCTATATGTATAATTATTCAATAAAATGTAATATAACTAGTCGTTATGTATTGTTGCTAATACTAGAATTTGATTTTAATATCATGCATACATATTAGAAATTAGAACTAGTATAGTCAGGTAGAAATTCAGGCTAACCATACAAAAATCAAGCGATCAACAAAAAAAAGTTTGTTATTTTATAGTAATAATTGATGCGTAAATTGAATTAATTTTGAGAAAAAGTACCAGTAAGGACTTATGAATTTTCGTCTGCAATCGGTATCAATATGGACTTCTACTTATATCCTTTCACTTGTTAATGGAGAGTCATTAATATGAATATATTCTATGTATGTGTTATGGGTAACGTGGGTTAGTAGTTGTCAACTACAGAACATTAGTAGGTATTGCAAATGGACAGCATAGACTAATAGTGCGACGTCTTGTATCACTATATCAACCTGTATATTACACGTGCTCTTCCAAGACTTACTCTAAACATAAAAATCATTTATCACAAAATTTGGTAGTTTTGCTTTTAGTATTTCAACAAAGTGAACTTTATACATATAATTACAAGTATGAAACCATAACTCAATAGTTATATTGTGGTTAAAATCGAAAACAGATGGGCAGCCTAAAATAACGCACTGGAAATACAGACTATATCTGAATCGGACACGATTCACTACGTGTTACGGCGATCTCGCTAAATAAATTACAAATATTTCGTTGAGAGCCGTGTATTTTTGAGTTGCTTTTTTTCACATAAAGAATATTTTATAATTCTTGTAAACAAATTGAATTACTAATTTAGATATTTTTATGAGGAAATATCAATTTGAAACGCATCTTTTATTGCAATAACTGCTTTGTTTGTAAGTAAAAACATGATTAATGAAACGATCTGGCTATTTATCAACACTTTTTAGTACCTACGAAATATTTTCATAAAAAAAAATATTTGTGAGATTATTTGAAATAATGTTCGTATCATGAGTAAGATTGACAAATAGAAATAGAAATAATCTTTATTCAAATAAACTTAATATAAGCACTTTTGAATATTCAAGTTTTTTTTTATTCTACCGCTTATTCGGAATGCAGATTCATCACAAGAAGAATAAGCAAGAAACTTGTGTGTTGCTCTTTTAAATAAATATTGATTTACTTATATTTAATTAACAACAAGGATTAGGCATGCGACAATCAACATAGAAACCGCTACGCACTTAATCTCTGTTCAATCAGATAACATTGTCAGCGCTATGAATTTTAAGTTAGATATTTTCTACAAAAACATTATTATCATTTATAAATTCTTCAATTTTATAATAAGCTTTTTTACAAAGAAAATATTTTATGACACATCTGAATTTTTTTCTGGCAAATTGACTGCAGACTCTGGGAGTTTGTTGTTAAACCTTACGCAATTTCCATAAAACGAATTACTGACTTTCGTCAAACGGCACTTAGGTAAAACTAGTTTGTTGACATTACGTATGCTTTTATTAGTGTAATCACCTACTTTTTTAAAACTGTTAATGTTTTTCCTGGCATACATAATATTTTCGTAGATGTATTGAGAAGCAACGGTGAGGATGTTTGATTCTTTAAAACATTCACGCAAAGACTCCCTGGAACCCATACCGTAAATGGAGCGGATGACCCTCTTTTGTAAAATAAATACTGTATTTATATCAGCTGCTTTGTCCCATAATAAAATACCGTATGACATAATGCTATGAAAATAGCTAAAATACACGAGTTTAGCCGTTGCCACGTCTGTTAATTGTCTAATTCTTCTTACCGCATAAGCGCTAAGAACTAAGTCTATTCGCCAATTTAGAAATATGAGCACCCCATTGCAGTTTGGAGTTTAATGTGATACCAAAAAATACGTATCATCAACAAAGTTAATAAGTTTATTGTTCAGTACGATTCTTGGTAGCACATAGCACATTTTCAGACTTCCCTCCAAATCATGCTACTTTATAGGTCTTAATAAAGGCGCAAACTCTATTTTTTTAAATCAGGCGAAATATATACAATTGTGATATTAAAGTGCCTTTTTACAATTCCAGAGGCATCTTGTAATTATTTCGTGTACGCGTTTTCTCCTATCATGAGGTAAACCAAAGCATGGAAAAAAGTTGACGCTAGCTGTATGCAGCTGTTCTGTAATATTTTGGCAACAAAATAGTTTAAAAAACATAATTTTTATTTTTGCCTGCGCGACGCGTTGTTAATTTTAATCGTCAAGATGTCTTGGCAGTTGTCTCAAAGTCCCATGAGTTTTTATTACTTTTTCCACATTTTACCAGTTTATTAATTATTCGCCCACGGGATACAGTGCGGGTTGCTTTAAAAATGAGTTCATCGTTAGTTTCATCAGGCATAGATAAATTAGGAATTATTTAACATAAATAATCTATCATTATGCTACTGCGAACATTGGGAATCTATAGTCAGGTTTTAGTCTCGGAGACTAAATTAACAAGTGAAAATGTAAATTTGTCAAATAATTTTTTTTTTGTTAATAACTACCTGTAGAGGGGTAGTGATTTGTTGAATCGATTTTTTTATTTTAAACGATAAGTTTTAAAGCTTTTTATGTAGTTTGAACAACATACTTTTAAAAGTTACGTACGTACACTACTGTTTCTATTACTGTCTTTGTATAAAGGACGCAAAAATACATTTGTGTAGTTTCCGTACACATAGTAATTTTTACGGTATTAATTTTTTTTTCCTACAAACAGCTAAATGTTTTAAATAGGTGTATGTTTTAAGAAATATGATACCATAGGAGGGTGAGCTATAAAAATACGTATTTAGTAAGCTAGATCGATTATCTATTATTAGAAAGATTATATAAAAGGTTTATGTATATTTCATGAGTACCTAGGTTGTGCAATAGATATATATGCAACCTTAATAAATTTAATGAATTTGCGTTAAAATTTTATTCTCTTTGCATTTATATAGTCTCATTGTCTGTCACTCTTACCATGTATATATAAATAATTTAATATAATTAGATACTACGGTTTACAATGCTAATGTATATACATAATTATATGTAGTAAGTATGTAATGAGATAGTAAACGACAGGATTTCTAAAACATTTATATATATAATATCTAGTAGTATCTGGACATAGTTTAGTGATATTTCGTGTTCCAATTACTCCATTAAACATTTTCTTTTGTGTTTCAATTTTTAAAGGATTGTTATCAAAGTTGAAAGAATTTTTTGATAGTGAACGCTACCAGCCTGTGGCTCAATGCCAAACACACTAGTAGGTAATTTCTTTAGTCTTATCTCAAGAAAGATTGAACAGATTAGAGGACAAAGTAAGTGATGCGCGTACTATGCGAGAAAAACTTAAGTGTCACTGAATTATGTGAAAAGAATAATTATTAAATTTAATAGTTAGATATTCTTTTCACATAATTTTGTGAAATTAGTGCGTGGAAAATATGGATGAAGTAATGTAATATAATAATGTAGTTTACCATTATAAAGTTGCTTGAAAACATAAATGAGAATCATAGTCTTTTATCTGAAATCGACTTATTTATGCAACCATAGTTTTCTCATATCAATAACATGAGTAAAACAAGAACAAATCTATATATTAGTCATAGTTACGAATAGGCACACTAACAATAACATTACAGTATGTTTGATATTTTCGGTTTCTGTGGAATATTGAGAACATGATATTGGTTAAACAATTACGGTGGAAATCTTCAGATTTTCATGCTATATTGGCACAGATCCAAGTACGAACCGCATGACCCATCGACTTTTAGATTTACCTCAACGACTTCAGGTTATTGAATCTATAGTGTTCATGAATGATGTAGTGGAACAATAATACATGTTTTAGTTTGTGAATAAGAGCCCGGGAAGAGCAATGGTTTATTTACTAATGACATAGCTTATAACATACTAACTGTATCCTGCGACACTGTATGTAGGTATGAAATATTTCTTACATTTTGCTAGCTGATACATTAGCTATCCTAAAGGGATTATTATTAATCGAGAATTTTTTGGGTTTATCCAGAGTTAAACGAACATAAAATCAAATTGTTCCTGTTTATGACATCAGTATAGATTTATTATAAGTAGATATTAAATGTATATCCTGTAGAACATTTTAGCCGCTTATGAACGTCAACTTTTTTGTATAAATATTTTTTCCTATAATACCTATACTTAGGTACATTTGGCACTTTATTACTGTCTGTCTCATTCAAAACTCAATTTAATTTATCATTACATGAATTGAGCATCAGAACATCATTCGCTAATAACACGGTCACAAAGTTAGGTAGAAGAAAAATATTAAATATAAAGTTTTCAGTAAGATGTCAGTTTCAGATCATATTTTGGTTGTTAGTCGCCATCACTCACATCACACGACAAGTCATTGTCACTGTCTACGAGCATGTCTAGTTGTCTACAGACGAATAGTTGAGTTGTTTATTTTCCTGTGTTCATTTTTAACATTCGAATACAAAATGATTAACGGTTTTTTAAATACAATTTTATAAGCTGTCAACTGTGTGTATACTGGTTGCTAATTTGTTTACTCATTGAAATAAATTGCGTTAGCGACAATACACTAAGTTATATGTGAGTGAAGAATGAAATTATATTTATATTCTAATTAGATAATATTATATCCATTGTTATTTTCACCAAGTTATCCTAAGAATTTATTATAAATTATAATAATTTAAAATGAGCGTAAGCGGATTATACAGTTTGTATATAAATAAAACAACAAATCTGTAAGTCTGTTATTGTAACTACATGTATGTAAATATGTACTTACATCCACTTGCTAAAAATAACTAGATATAGTTGTTGCATCTAAAAATAGTCGGTATTTTTTTAAGAGCCACGCCTTCTGTAGTTGATTTTAATGTTATTTTCGTACGCATAATTAAACCCACGCACGATAGGAACAATTAATTTACTATGCGAGCCCCACATCTGTTTTTATTAAGTCGGCCTCCATTGTGTGCTTGGCTTTACGCCAATAGTTAGCTTGCGATTTTTTACGTAAACATGCATTGCAGCAAATTTGTGTGTTAAATATTAGTTAAAATAAACGTCAAAATCTTAATCTTAAACATTGATACTTGACTTGGCCATTGGGAATGTTGTGAAAGTGTAATTTTTAAATCAACATGTCACATCAGTAACTATTCCTACTGAATATTATTAGGTACCTAAAATATAGTTTCTGGAGAACTAAATATAAATATTTTACTACACACAGGGGAAGGTATAATTAAAAATAATATTACAGGTTCTATCTGATCATTACTATGTATTGCATGTAGGTAAAAATAATCTTGTTTCAAAAATGTTAATATAAGTACCTAACCGTACTGTACAAGAATAATCAGCAATAGTACTTGAGAAATGAGTAACCTTCTTGCCTACCAATGTATGTGTTCTTGGCAATGTAAGAAGACATATTTGATGATCAAGATTACAGTGGTAAATGAAATATAAGAACCTATTTTATGGTATATATATTTAATATACTCGTATACCTAAATAGGGTACTTACATTAGTAAGCATATGCTCTATAAATAATTCTTTTGTTAATTTTGTAACTTTAGCAGTATTTTCTATTGTTTTTTAGAATATAATGTTTGTATTATATTCATGACGATATTAATAATGGGTAGATGTATATTTTTAACTTTACTTCTGTTTCTGTATAAAGTTATCTCTATAGGAACTGAAAAGTAGTTTGCAGTTTCTATAGAGATAACTGTTAGTAATAAAATATGTAGTGTAAAACTCGTAATCAATATTAAATGTTTTGCTAATCTTACCAGCAATCTGTTCTGCTGGAAGCTCGTCAGCCTGAAACAATATACAGAATTAAATAAATCGCCAGTAGATCACCTAGTAATCTTTCTATATTAAATATTATAGTAATTATATATCTTTGCGCTTGTCTACTTCTACTACCTACTCGGCTTATCAAGTGTGTTCGTTCTTTGCTACACGATATTGGATTGATTTGATATTTTAACAAATAATTTTTAGCTCTATATTGTATTTAATCATTACTTAATAAATGTAATTTCCAATGTAATATGAGAAGGCCCGACTCACTGACCGACATAGAAATCAGTGTTTTTCGTATGAATTTTTAATGCCTACCTTTACGAGGAATAAGAAATCGTATTTCGAAATTTAATCCCTAAAGGGAAACAATATTAAATAGACATTCCTGCCTGATAGTTTGTAGGAATAAAGTAAATACATACGCATTTCATGATTTTTCATTTATCAATGAGAGAGCTTTTAGCGTAACAACGTGCACAATTATTTATATTCCTGGTCGTAGTATGGTAGGTACCATAATGCATTTAGAATGCTTCCTTCTATGCCAGCAGATAAGACTAAGGTTTTGAGAATATATTTATAAGTTAAAGAAGATTTATGATATCCATTTATAAAATAATAAATGGATATCATAAATCTTCTTTAACGTTACAAACGATCCTCTTAAGAGAGTTTAATATATTGATAAAGAAAAATGAGTCTAATATTGGTCTAATAGTTTAGAATCGCATTAAGATAGTTAATTGACTCTTTCTAAATATCTTTCAGTGTAAACATTACGAGTAGGTACTAGAGCGTATAATCCGACAAATTAATCATCCGACTCGACGCATAACACAACGTAAGTAGGTCGTATAGAGCGGAATCCCGTGGAACTAAGCGCTCTGCTTGCTGGGCCGCAATAAATTTATTTTACGTGCAATTGATACTGAAATAGAAACAGTTGCGCGATTTCGATATTCGTCCAAAATAATACACGCAGATAATATTACTTTAATATTATAGTTTAGTTAGAAGTTTGATCGCATTTCTTCTAGGAACTATGAAGTGGGTGAAGCAATAAATGTAGGTAATAGCGGATATGGTTGGCAAGTGCCAAATCTCTACTTATTACATTCTGGCATATTCAGAAATGTACCTGTATCATCATTCATACTATATGTTTATGCATTCCTTAATAACATCAAATTTCTGTGTAATTTGTTAAATATATACCAAAATTATGATTTAGAATAACCAAATACCACAAGAAATTAATTCTACAGTGCCAGGTGCCCAATTGCAAGTGTAACAAATTATATGGTTAAGACACTACCCTACACCTATTTTCATGACCGTGATACAATTACTACCCGAACAGTATTAGCAACAATATCAAAATATTTTTTTATTTAACGATGAACCTAATACTTCGTGAGGACATTTTAACTTATTGATTTAAACATTAGTTTCTTGTATATAAATTCCGAATATGCAGTGTCTTGTTAGGAATCGTTTATCCTGTTCGATTTTTAACACTTCTTTTACATCCATCCATCTTCTTTTCCAAATTTTTTATATTATGTTTCATAGTTATATCCAAAAAGTGACAATACCTAAATAAAATTTCTTTGGCGAATTTTGATGAATTCTTTGACAAGAAGAGACAACTTTTATCACATTTTGGATGTATGGCACATACATATATAGTAACTGCGCATAAAATTTAGGGTATCTGAAACTGTTTCCTCCAAATTCATTAGGCACTTCAGAGCACGTACGTACAGAATTTTTAAGAAAATATGCCTATTCTATAAAGGAGCGAGACTCACTTGACCATATACCAGAGATACTAGTTAATTCCATTACATAGAATAAACTAACCCCTCTCTTATATCAAGTCCTTATAAATGACAGTAGCCACTTTCCATCCGCACTGACTGTCTGTTCGTTTACTTCCCTAAAAAGAATAACATCAAATTTTTGATAACGCTTTTAGGAAATTATTAATTGTTTAACAATATGAACTAAATAAATATATGATTTCTTAATACTCTCAACGTTTTATAAACTGTTGTTCTTAATTTTCATTTCACTTGGCTAATTTTAGAATTTAATTTTAATTTAATACGTGACACATAAAATTAGAAGTTATCCGCTAGTTTAGTTAGATATAGATTGTGTTCTTTTTTTGTACTGAGTTATTGACAATTTATGTTGCAATAATAATTTTTGTTCCATTGGAAAGTTGTAACTTTCATTTGACTTAATATGATAACTGTGTTCTAAAGGTTTTGACTGTTTCTTTTAAGGTTGAGTTCTGAACCTATTTTCTTATATTTTTTTATTCGCTAATGTTTGCGCCTTTTTACAGTGCCATATTAAGTTAGTGAGATTGAAGCCTTTTTATGTTGTACGGTGAAGATCTACTAGAATTTATAAATATTTATATTATTAAATATGTTATGAATCCAAAATAACATAGCATCACTAGTATGAAAGAATAAAACTAAATTAGCTGTCAACATAACAGCTGGCCTCAATCAGACGCGGCGAAAGATTTCATCCAAATAGGTTACTAACAAGCGACCGCCACTGTAGCGTCGTATCATACGCGTGACAATACCCTACTATACTTCTCTTTGATATCATAATAATTCATTTTTATGTCTTATTTCTTCTTTGGCGTTATCTGTATATTCACAGATTTGGTCATAAAGGAATAACTTAAAATCCCAGTGCTAATATTCATGCAATTGAACTACTTTTGGGATAGATATGGAAATAACTTTTATAGGTCTTGTCACACATACATAAATCCATCACGTCACCGCGCTGGAAGGTCCTAGAAAAGTGTTGCTACTTCGACCACCTTTTTTAAGGAAAGTTGAATAGTTTTTTTTACTATACTGGCATTGCTTTAAGTTTCTGGTTGGTGACTATCTACACCATTGATGTCTATTCCTCTTTAGGCTCTATGTATTATCAAATTGATGGCTATATTGCTTCTATTCTAAAAACCGAAAAAATAATATTGTTTTAATAAACTTGAATAAAATTTTGTATAACATTATACCTACCCAGTCTTCAGTATCCAGAACCATGTTTGATGTCACTAGTTATCACTGTGAGACGCACAACACGACTGGCAACGAGTCTTTAGTTTTCAGCGTTCAGGGTTATTTCTGCTTCTTCACGATATAGTCGGCATTTCTGATACTTTCATATATAACGGGAAACACGCGGGGGTGGCGGGGGGTCGGCGGCCCCTGCTTCTTGAGTCCTCTCCGTCTTCCTGCGTTTGCGTCGACCAATCGCGTGAGCCTCAAACGGCAGGATGCTGATGTATTTTTAGCCGGAAACGTGGTCAGGAAAAACGTAAACAAGCGATGCGTGCGGTGTTCGGGGGGTATAGGGCGTATACAAGTAAACTATGTTGTAACTGGCTGAGAATTGAGCAAGATCTATGGGAAGTTGGTTGCTAACGCGGAGAAATCGGAGACGGCGTTGGACGATTTTTGTCTTTTATCGCATCTCTTTCAAAATCAGTCTATTTACAAAAGTTTTGAGAGTGTAGATATTACAATGGCAATGCTTATCGTTACCTCAGATGTTGAAAACACTATCATCCTATACTGAAATTACAAATTCTAATGTTCAGATTCAAACAATACTAGATCGTACTTAAACTGTTTTGACAACTGTCCAAATAAAACAAAACTGTTCGGAGTTGACTAGAGCAGTGATACATTCAAAGTTTACAGCACCTACTCGAACGTTAGAACTTTTTTTTTAAAAAGTACTAATTATTCATTTCATTTGACGACCCCGATGGTCTAGTTGTTTAGCACACCGCCTTACTTCCTATGGTCGCTGGATCGATTCCTCGCATGGCACAAACATTTGTATTCATGAAAATGATTGTTTGTATCGGTATGGGCGTTTTTTATGTATACCTAATATGTATGTATTTACGAAAAAAATATATCTATGTAATTGTATCAGTTATCCATATCAGAAACTAACCATAGTTTCTGATATGGATTACTGAAATAATAATAATTCAGGGCAATTCACACAGCGCCATCTAGTCCCAACCTAAGGTAGCTAAAGCTTATGTTAACTTAACTATCAAGTTATTATTATTTCTGTTAATTCACAATCCACTGTCACTACGCTATACCTATATAGGTAAATAGGGACAAAAGAGAGTACACGCGACATGTGGAATGTGGAATGTATATACTCTGGAACCATTAAACCTGATTAAAAGTAACATATATGTTTCACTCTTAAGATACTAAATGTTTCCCGAAACTTCGTCTGCTTTTTTGAAATAAAAAATTGCTTATAATCATTTGGTTATGAAAAGGTAACAAAGATAGAAACAGATAAACCCACTTTCGCATTTATAATATTAGTATGGTTGGATATATACATCTACATAATAGACGAAATTCCAACGGTAATGACAGTAAACGGGTTTTGCGTACAAAACCGAGGTAAACAGCTAATAAAAATATATATTTAAGTAGGTAACTAAATCAAAATTCTAATAATATTATATAGTTCAGTCAAGTTTTATTAATACAATAAAGTATTAGTGGTGTATATCATCCGCCCCTGGCCTCTTTGCTGGCTACCTAATTAAAGCTTGACAGAAATATCATAAATATATGAGAGGAGTTTTCAAACTGTATTTTCGGTATAATTTGTTTATACAAGAAAGTACTATAAATTCGCTTTGATGAATTTGTTTTTGTTTGGGCATATCAATGTAACTGTGTGTAAATTATACATTGGAGGCGGTGTATAATCACTAACCTTGGCGTGTAATTTAGTGTAAGATGGTAAATTAACAACGGACACTTCTCTGACTTTTTGGAATATGCTCAATACTTCAGGTCTGTGCATCAACAGACAAAAAGTACGTCGAGCATTTTGTCTCATATGACAAAATTCTTGACGTACTATTTGTCTGTTATAGTAAAAGACGCTATTGATTTTTGTATACGTTATACCTGTCTGTATAAATTATCCTTATTATTTTACTTCTATAAACTGTATTAGAGTGTATTAAATATATTTATTTTCTAGAGCGAGAATATAATATAATTTTGTCACTGATATTAATTATATAAAGTAATATACCTGCCTAATTAAATGCCTCTTGCAGTTTAGTCTACTCATTGTTAAAATCTCGATGGCTAGAGTATGCTTTCATTTTACAAGTTATGTTCCAAACGAAACTTGTCCTTCACTTGTTCTATAAAATAAATGAAGAAAATAACGAAGATAAATCTTCAGAGACGGCAGTGGGCGTAGCGTATATTTATTATGTGGTGTATGGCTGTATGGAATCACAAAATAAATACTATCCAGTCATGTTGTATCTAGTACTAGATTGTTACCCTTTTCCATATACATATACGAAAACAATGGATTATCGTTATTTTCCGGTTGCGATATTCAGATAAATGGATCAAGTTTGATATAATCGTAATGTCGACCATTTCAATAAATTAAAGGTATACCCATCATTAATAATTCAGAATAAAATTATTTGTGTATCTTGGCACCAGTTTTGCTATTTTCCTACTAGTTTAAATTTTATTACGTGGTATTTAGTGGCAAATTTAACTTTGAAAATTCTTCATTAATATTTTGATGTAACTGGCTGCTACTGGATGCTTGGAACTTCAGACTTTAGGTATTACCTATGCCAAGATTAAGAAAAAAAAATTGTCTACAAGTTTGCGTGACGTGAGTAAAACCAAATGACGCAGACAAATTAATGTATAATAGTTATAAGAGGTGTTTAATACTTGAACATATTGTTACATTACACATTTATCTCTACATATTATAAAACAAAGTTCGAAGTCGTATCTGCCCGTATATTTACGATAATCTCAAAAACTTCTGAGTGGATTTTTACGCGGTTTTCATTTATCAGTAGGCATTAAAGGAAATTTTTGTTGTAAAATTCATTGAAGTTCTGTGTAAATTGGTTGAAATACTTGTGCTATGCCGGAGCTGGTACATCCCGGCTGCTCTGTAAGAAAAGTTTAGTAGGTACCTAAACTACCAACATAGAAAACTTTTCCAAACGAAAACGAAAGCAAACTTCTTACCTTACTATGTATTATGATGTCCTTGTACCCTAATGTTTCGTAACTAATAACTAAGTCCTATCGATGGACGCAGAGCGCTCTAAACAACTGGAAAGCTCCATTCAGAGAAGGATTTTCTGAACTGCGTGATCGTTATATCATAACGTCGTATGTTATAACGGGTAATACACATTGAATATAATGCAAGAAAAAAGAACGAACAGAAAAATTTTTCACAAACAAATTTTCCTTTTGTATTATTTAGCTTTGTACATTGGCGTATGTATAAAAATACATGATGATTGTGAAAACGTCAAGGACCTTTAAATGTTACTCAAAGGTTAATTTGGTCCGTCTTTGATTTTTATGTACACATTAAGGTATATAAATTCTCTCAGTCATCAATCCATCATCGCAGATCGTCACGAGAACTGCTGCACTGGAAAATTGGCACAGATTGAGTTGAATAGCACTCACGTCCTTTATGACCCTAAAAGTCAATGTAGTGTGTTTATAAATAAATTTCTTTTGTTCTCTCCTAAATACCAACTCAATTTGATGACTAGCCGTTTCCCGTGACACTGTCTGCTTGTAATATTAGCGCTTAAATGTTTTACTTATGCCATTCGAGAGGACAAAAATGTTAATCCACCGTACCCTATAATTTCATTGCTTTATCTCAATTTTTCAATCGAAACAGATATTACAAAGTAAGATGTTTGGCAGCTGAAATACATAAAGTACTTACGCAAACGGCTTTATACAAAGTTTACCACGTTATAAAATTTGTTGTAATTATTTACCATGTGAAGTTAAATGCCAATGTTTTTATTTTCACTTCTTTGTTAGTACCTAAGTACCTATTTCAGTATTCTACCAGGCTTTTTACATACTTATTACCACTTACGGTAATATATAGAAAAAAAATATTAGTTACATATGAATGTGGTGGAGTGAGAAATTATATTATTCAGTTTACAACAAGACCGCGCTATTCTTATTGATGATAATGGAATGGTACAACCGCCTGCGCTAACGGTTTACGCTTGCGCGGCACCAGTGGAGGTTGATTAGATGAGCAAGAGGTTAGGTTAGTTACCCTATCGTGGTAATTTACTATGAATTTATCGCGATGGTTTCCAGGGGGAACCACTTGAAGGTCAACCTGACATGGTATATTGCTAGCAATGGGATCACCTATTAGTCCATATTACTAACAATCCCCTTCCTTCCGGTGTTAGATATTAGGTAGGTGCACTATGTATTCAGAAATACATTCGGAATACATTCTTTGGGTTACATTGCTTAACTTAGCTTCTATAAGTTATTTGTTGGAGAATTAATAATCCAACAGACTTTTCAATTTCGATTATAAAAGAATCTGCGACCATCTGAAGTCAGGCGGTGTGATAAACGTAGTCCTACTTGTACAAGATACCATGTAAAGAACATTAATAATATTTTTTGGCTTATATTCCTTTGTCTACCGTAACGAAGGAAGAAGATAGCCAGTTACCTAGGTCGTGGCTAGAACTTGCGTAATTATGTGTCTGTCTACACTAAAATAGAGAATTTCCTACGAGTTGCGAAACGACTATTTTCAGATTAAGGTGAATATACGTACATGCAATTGTGTACGCTGAAGAATATAGGCGTAGTATACTTCCGTATTGTTATAATATCATATAGTGCATTTTTTTTTTATTTTTACTGTGTGTATGTAGTTATTGTATTTCTGTACGTAAATGCGTATAATAAACATGATGATGTACAATACATATTTAGTCTTTGTAGTACTCGTTAGCTACTGCAATAATACAAATATTTTTAGATACATTTGAATTATGAAAATAATGTTATATTTGTATATTATGTGCTAAACTGCTAGATCATAACCTTAGTGGTCTAGCGGTTTAGCACAACGCTTTAGCTCCGATTGTCATAGTAACATCATTTTGTAAATGGATACATAATATACAAAGTAAACACCCTTGCCAATACAAACAATCATACCCATGCTTACAAATGATGTTACTATGACAATAGTAACATCATTTGTATATTATGTATCCATTTACAAAAAGATATGTATTATTTATCAATTGTCTAGTATTCATAACACAAGCTCGGTTGAGCTTGCGCCTAAATGACATGTCCAGGGTTGTTATTATTATATACTTATAATATTATAATGGCAAACAAACAGAGTCTGTCCCAAGGTGAGCATCTTATACACTGTGTGAATTGTTCAGGGTATTTATTATTCAATAAAATTCGATAAATTTAACATTTTTAAATAAAATTAAACTACTCTTTATAATATTAACTATCTGTAAGGGAAAGTACGTCAAAATCGATTCAGCTGTTTCAGGGTAAACTGAAATTTAGTGAAAAGCTGTTAATTTGAAATTACAAAGAAACATTTTAATTTTATTCGTTTGTATACATTATTTATTAGATATATTGGGTTTTATATAAATAGAATAATAATGCTCTCTGTGCTGCACTGCCGGGTACCACTGAATAATAAGGAAATAAGGATATATTATGAGATATGATATAATGAGAGCTTAAGCCACCATAACTAATATACACATAATTAAACAATAATTTATGGTACATTTATAGGTGCCATTAAACATTGATGAATATAGAGCGACAATTACTTTAGGAATGGAATAAGATTATGAAAATAGTGTAATAGTAGAAATCAAATAAATTAAAGTATAATATAACCTATTTATATTGTAACATATGTTTAAATAAAATTAGGGAACTAAAATAAAATAAATCCTAGATATTTATGTATTATGCATTACACAATTATGATGTAATGATTTACAACACTAGTAAATGCCCACACAAAATATGCATTGTTAGGTACAGCAACATGGACAAGAGACGAACGTTAATATTATTAATTAATTTTTTTTTAAATATTCCATATTAAAAAAAAACTAAACATAGATTATTATGATTAATAGTTATTTTAATTACATCTTTGTAGCTATGTCATACACTCGTATCTATATGTATCAATAGATATGTAGCCGTTAGCTATAAATATATTCCTGTAAGCATTTGTTATTTCTATGCTCCCATCTGTTAGGCTCATGGTTTATGATAAACTTGTTATTTAGCCTATAAAGTAATGGTGTGGTGCCAATACAAATGTACCGTCCATAAATCAATCACATTTTTATGAGCACTGGAATATCGAGACAGGTTATTTTTAGACCATTATGAACTCAACAGTTCGGTATATACGGTAGATCAAGCACAATGTAACTAGATACAAAATCATAGTAAAATTTTTAATTAGTCCCTTATAGTTCTGTTAGTAGAGTCAATCAGTAAAAAAGGTTCTTTTTCAGAAATTATTCATTCTTTTCTTTACTATTGTTATCCGAAATAAAGTAAGCAGAATCAGTAAGAACAGTTGATGGCGTGGTGATCCCAATAAGTACTTAACATGTCCATATTTCGCTCGGTGGATACAATATTACATATAATAAATTATTTATAACTAAACTAGGAGGCATGCCTGCGGCCGTCTATCGCTATAGTTTCTTTTGCTATCGGTATTTCCATCACTGGAGCGTCAGTGAGAATTATAAATTTACTCAATGGTTTTTTGGTGCCACCTGATTATAGCATCAGAGTCTAATAGTGTAGGTACATCATGATCCAGTCATCGTAGCACTTTATGTTGTTTATCACTATAAAAGATAATTCTTTATTGTTGTGTACCTAATGGTAATATTGATTTATTGATAATATCAATAATTAAAATAGAATATTAACATTCTATATAAAGTAAAATTATCTTGAATTTCCAATTCACCGATTCCGGGGTTAATATAAATTCCAGAATGAAATCCCTATTTTTTCAAAACGGGTATTTTCCATTTTATTTATTAGTCATAATTAATTAATCATTAATTTTACCTTCCGTTTTTTGGGAGTTTGATTTTAGCACTGTAGAAAAAATAATGTATTCATGGTCATGAGTATCTCTATTTACATTACATTTGCTCATTATTTTAATACATAGTATGTAAGAAGATACACTAAAGTTTTATTGGTATGTTTATTGCAGTGCTGGCGGTAATGACTATAAATTGAATAGTATTATTAGACATTAATACAAAATCCAACCAAAGGATTTGCCAGAAAAACAAAGACATTACAATTAGAAATAGAAGTTGTTTGTTCCATTCACTTGTATTAATTAGCTACGTGTTTATGTTTATTTTACAACCAATTTACGTAAGCACATCCACACACGCACCTCCCCTTGGACACCCACCAACCATTGTCAATTAAACACATTTTGCTAAGAAATTTACTTGCCTTTACTTTAACCTTCCCTTCCTAAATAAAGAGCAATGCAAGCTATGTTTAGATTTTATTCTAAAAGGAGAAAAAATGACTCGGTAAAAGCTATAGATACATCTGAATCTTCGGGTATAGCAGAACATGAGAAGTAGGTACTACGGTCGTCACCCTTACCACTTTCTATCCAGTAAATCAACGTCTATTTTCTATTTTAGTCAATAGTTTTAATTAGTTAGTACAAAATACTAAACATATGACTGTTTTGTAAAATTTCGATGATGATATCAAAATATTTTTTTCATTAATTTATTGCTATTGTTATACTTACGCGCCTGCAAGCGCATTTAAACTTAAAGATGTGCCAAGAGTGCCAAGCTTATTCAATCTACATATTTGCATTACAGCTACATATTTTCGATGCTTTCTACTCATGAAAAACAAGAATTGATTAGAAAAATATATCCCCTCAGTTACTAAATCCCTAATGTACACATACGCCCACGTTCTGTCTCGTGTGTTTACAACATCGTACACGGCTGTGGAATAATATGTTTCAAAGTTAAATAATGCTTTCGTCCGAGTTTTGGTGAACGCAGTTGGTCCATGTTTTATTGTGTATGCGATCTCAGCTATATCTCGTACAGTTGGTTGCTGTATAATAGAATATAAATAGCGGTTAGAAAACAAACCATCAGCATTTCTTAAGCCGCTGTCGAATGCATACATTAATCTTTTGTTTACAGCCGAAATTTAATGTAACCCGAGTATAATGATAATTACCTATTATTATCTTATTTTCAGCATTTAGTCGATGTTTTATATTTACTTGTATTAAGACCATGTAGTGGGGGAAAAAGGGCTTCTTAGTAATGTGGACTTATTATTTTTGCTAGCAATGTACCACGTCAGGTTGACCTCCACGCGGTTCCCCCTGGAAACAACGTTACAAATTTTTGGTGAATTTGTCATGATGGGCTAACTGACCTGACCTCATGCTTAATTTATCATCCTCCACTGGTGCCCCGCCAGCGTAAACCGTTAGCGCATGCGGATGCACCAATATCATCATTATCATCCATAAAAAAACTATGTATGTGTGTAACAAGTTACAGGATTTATTTAAAAGTAATAATAAGCAAATGCTAATTAATATGATAATGACTAAATAAACAAGTATTTAAGTATATTACTTACTACCTACTTACATATCTATGAAAATTTAAGATGAAATATAGGTACAGCCACTGTAATGTACCTACCTATGAATAAAAAGTGCGTGTGGTAGGTAACATTAATCTGTCGACCTAACTATTTTATCCTTATATATTTTTTTAAATTATTTCTTTACTAAATACTTACTCATTCTACAGATAATCAATATTGCCATATAGATGGTGTCTTCCCTAACGGTAGGTGGCGGGGCATCAGTGAAAAATTATAAGATTAATGTAAAGAGTCGATGGACTGTAGATATGGCTCTCCAAATGATGAATAGCTACGAAAAGAAAAAGACAATGGAAATATCTACCAAAACATGATATATAAAACACAAAATAGTTTGCGGCAGTCGGTCGCTTACAATGAGGTCAGGTCTGTTAGCCCATAGTGACAAATTCACCAGGAATAAACCACGATGCATGACACGGTGGACCACATGGATGTCCACCTGACATGCTAACAATGAGGGCACTAATCTAATCCCTAATCCCTATTACCAACCGTCTCTTTCGGTTCGTGTGTGGTATTTCACAGCCAACATGAAAAAATAAAACTTGAAAACAAAACGTAAATTAAATTGTTGTCGCATTCACGAGATGAGAGAGACAATCAATACATTCCGCTGTCTCTACTGACGAAAACAATGAAAATTAAATAGTGAGTAGGTATATGTATAAATTTGTTTCTCGGCCTGAGTAAGTGCATAATGAGTGCTGAGACATTATTGACGACCTTGGCGGTGTAACACACTGTGTTACCTTCTGCGTTCGCTAGTTCGATGCCTGCACAATTCAAATAAATTAATTCACGTTCATAACTGTTTGTATTAATCTGGGTGACGATTTTTCAAGCGTAGCGTAATTAAATTAAATTAAATTATGGAACATGGTATGCCGTAGAAGTACAAAATACACGACATTAGTGTTCGAATATTTAGTATGCTATAAACAAATACCAACCTTTACAATACATTAATCTATGGTAACTGTATACTCTGTAGCCATTATGTATTAATTATCTGCAAGCAACTGACGGAATGACTGACTGATTGATGGAATGACAGTTATAGTGATAGCTTTCTAAAGTGTCTTGTATAAACAACATATATATATACATTAATTTTTGAAATTATTTTAATATTTATTCATTTATTATTAGACACATAATTATGAAAATGACTGTTTGTTAAAATTATCTCGAAAATTATTACTTACATAAAACCATGCAAAGTTATGTAGTTATATCATTTATCGGTGAAGGATCATTTGGACGAGTTTTTAAAGCCAAACACAAAGAAACCGATGCTGTAGTTGCATTAAAAGTTATAAGAAAGGTTTGTGCAGCAAAAGAAATATATAATAATTTTCTATTTGTATGTTAAATAAAAAAAATATGATGTTGTGTTTTAGAAAGGTCGGTCGTCGAAGGACTTGAAAAATTTGAGACAAGAATGTGATATTCAAAGGCAATTGAAGCATCCTAACATAATTCGCATGATTGATAGTTTTGATACAGACACTGAATTGGTCGTTGTCACAGAATATGCTGAGAAAGAGTTACATGGTATACTGGCGAAAGAAGGATGTCTAAATGAACAGCAAGTAAAAAAAATAACATGGGACCTTGTGTCTGCATTGTATTATTTACATTCTCATCGAGTTCTTCACAGGTAAAGTAATTGTGAGATTGCGGAGAATAGAGTCCACATTACAATTTGTATATTTTTATTATTTTAATTAAGTTTATATTAAATTATTATGGAGTAGGTAGCTACAATTAAATAAAAAAGAAAATTCAAATGTAAATGTTACTAATCTTATAAACATGGAAGTTTGTAAGTGTGGATGTATATTTGTTACTGTTTCATGCAAAAACTACAGAATGGATTTTATTGAAACTACAATAATAATAACAATATCTCAGGACAATTCACACGCACAATAATATAACTTATACATCAGAATACACACACATAGGCTATATAAACTTCATGCAGGTGAAACTGAAGGCATGGCAAGGTAGCAGTAGCATAATTATAGCAGGTTTATAGAAAATACTTTAAACTCTACTCAAACTAAATAAATATTTTTGTATGACCTTTTGATGTCATATTTTTTATCACCTATATCCATACCACCTGTAAAGCCAAATAAGAATTTGCATATGTAACTATTATTTTTTATATTAAATGTAATATTACCTTTTCTTTTGTTTCAGAGATTTAAAGCCACAGAATGTTCTAATAGACAGCAATGGTCAGGCCAAGCTGTGCGACTTTGGCCTAGCTCGGATAATGACCAATGCTACTCATATTCTTACCTCTATAAAAGGTACCCCACTCTATATGGCTCCTGAACTGATTGAAGAGAAACCATATGATCATCAGGTATATTTTACTTTAGTTTTATCACGTTTTTAATATACAGAAGATATTTATTAGTGACCAAATCTTGCTTTATAGAGCTACTATTACTATAGAGATCAGAAATTAATTACAAACAATGAATAAAAAAATTGCTTTTTAATCAACATTATCTTCCTTCATCCTGCTGCTTATGGTTGATCTGTAGGTTATATTCTTCTACTGAACCCTGATACATACTCTCCTTTTAAACATATCTCTTATACACACAAACCATCCATATTTTTTTCAGTTATGCCTTTTTTCTTCTTTATATTAATACTATTTATTTAAATTTATGTGGAGCAAAATTGAAATTTATTTGTATTGTTACAGGCTGACCTTTGGTCTCTTGGTTGTATTGTGTATGAGCTCATAGCTGGGCAGCCTCCATTCTGCACCCTGTCACTTTGGCAACTAGTTCGGATGATTCGACATAAACCTGTTCAATGGCCAAGCTTTATTAGTGTTGAGGCCCGATCCTTTTTACAGGTAACAGCAATTCTGGTTTTCATTGAAACTATAATATATATATTTTTTCCTATCTGCAATCAGTTGCAGAACTAATATCTATGTAATATCTTGTACGAATTAATTTGTCTGTTGGAGGGAGAGAATTGTTAGTAATCACCAGTACCCGGTGATCCCATTAGTAGCAATGTACCATGTCAGTTTAGCCCTCATGCAGTCTCCTAAGAAGATGATACTGATTGATTCCTGTTTTATTTTGTCACGATGGGTTTACTAACCTGAACTTGATTTCTCATCTTATCATTTTCTACTGGTGTTGCACTAACATATGCCATTAGAGTTTGTAGGCGGACAACTGTTAGGAACGGAATAATGTCAAACCTGATATGAATAATGAATATATGTAGTTTAGATATATTTTTAACAGTATCATGATGTTTGAAATTTCAGGGTCTGTTGCATAAAGATCCAATGAAACGTTTGAGTTGGCCAGAAATTTTGCAACACGAATTTGTTTCTGGTCACATATTAATATTGCCTGAAGATGTGCAGAGCGAGTCACCATTTACAAAACCCTTAACACATAGCCAACAAGAAGCTAAACAACTGCAAAGAGATATAATAAGTAATAATGCCAGGTATGTTGTTAATTTTTATGTTTTTTAAAAGCTCATAATTAAAATGATTTTGTTCACTTTTACATATCATTGTACATACAGCACAACATGATAATTTATAGGGTATACGGCTCTAGACTTTAGAATAAAATTTGTACATATGTATATACATACTGTGAAGTTACTAGTAACTAATTAATCTTCACTACATTACAAGTATCTCATGACTGCTGTTCAGACTCATACAATTAAGAATTACAACAAGAAATTTAATTTTCTTGGTGTAATTTATTTTGATTTATTGTTTAATGTTTAAATGTTTAATTAATATTAAATTTTGTTGTGTTTGAAATTAACGGCAAAAAAATTAATTATAGGACTATGAAAATAGAAAGCGGGCAACTGAAACAAAATACTCGAGAACATGATCTACGAAATGTACGCGGCGTGATGCAAGTTACAGAGTGTGTGCCTATGTCGGATGACGACAGTATTAGAGCCACAAGTGCTTTCAGTGTTCGCGACAGTCTCAAAACTGATGACGAGGACCAAGCACAACCGATAACTGCTGTCAATGCGAAGTTACTCCGTCATGAATATAATGTTATGAATAATTCGAATCTTGTTGTATGTAATCTCGAAAAGAACATGGCACAATTAATGGCGACTAATAAAAAACAAAATGACTGTAATTTAAATAAAATGGATAAGATAGATGAAGAAAAACAAAATGTAGATAAAAATGTTGAGGAAACAAAAACAGTAAGTAATAACTGCAATGATGTAATTGAAACAAAACATAAAGCGAAATCTATAGAAACTCATACTGCGTCACAAAGTTTAGAAAACCCCAAAAGTTCAACAAAATGTAGTAGCGATATTAGTTCAGGTCTCAGTAAAAGTGTTCCACCTTCCTATAAACAGAAAATATTACAATTTTCAAGAGATAAACTTAGATTTGGGAGTGGTGGCAATAAATTAACGAGAAGCATTAAAAGGTCATTTCACTTCAGTAGAAGTTGGGATAAAAACAAAGGTGATAGTCAAAGGCGAACAAGTGAGCCCACTGTCGAGATACCAAGTATTATTTTTCCTACAGATAAAGAAAAGTGTTCTAAGGAAGAGAAAGATGAGGATAGTGAAAAATGTGAGATTATTGAGGAAACATTGGATGATAAAGAAATCGCTAACAATGATAATGTACAGAAACCAGAAGATAGGGATGAAGGTAATAAGGTCATAATATTTAACATATTTATTGGATTTTATTATATTAGCTTATTAGCTTATATGCAATGAATGTTAATCCTTTTATTTATAAAACCTAAAACATATTTAATTCCACGGTTACTGCGTTTTCTCACAGCTATTATCTAAAGGAAAGAAGAATTAAATAAGTAACATATATGTTTATTAGAAATTTGATATTTTGAACAAATTAACCTAGTAATGTCAAATTGTTTCAAAAACCTTTTTTTGTCATATATTTTATTAGCCACTCTGGTGCCTCATCATGTACTATTTCAGTGATATTGTTTTACAGCTAAAGAACCATCTTCCATAGAATTAGAGGAATGGGAAGCATTTCTTAATTCGAACATAAACGAAGTAATGGACGGCGATGTCGAATCTCTCACTCAGCTTAATATGGTTTGTATTGTTTTGCAATGTCTATCTAATCCTATCGATCGATCGATTTTGATACATTAGCCATCGCACAGTTGGGCGATAGTATGCCAATGCCTAAGGTAAATGTCATTGTGACTGGTATTCACACAGTAAAAAGCAAACAGAATCTAATAAGCACCTTATAGTCGAAGAATAACTATACAAATGGTGTGAGTCACATGGTAACGAGATCACAATGGTACTGTGGATACATATACAGTTACCGGTTACCATCAAATAAGTCAATCATCAGTCAATCAATCATGTTTAATGGTGCATTTTAATTTTCAGGTGAGCATGGTTATTGGTGTAGTAGGTAGTGCGGCACGGTCACGAACTGCGGGCGGCGGACGAGTGTGCGGCGCAGTCGCTGCATTGTTATCGCTGCCTGCACTCGTGCACTCACTGCCCAGGAATACCCTACTCAATATACAACACGTCAGTATCTCTAGTTTTATAATCATATCAGTAAAGGTACTATTATATAAATTTGTCCTACTGGTATATATTTCAATGAGGTAGACATTGCACTAATTCGTCTGTGGATAACGCAATTGCATGTATTTTGCCACTAAGCAATATGCTTTGTTAGCGATATGGTAGTAAAATAAGGGTATAGACGTGTGACATGATGATGTGGTATCGGTACTATTAGATATATGTAGTTACGAACAAAAAATTATCCCATGTTCATTCATCCATAATTTAAGAGCTACGCTCTCGTCGGTGGAGCTCATGCCACTTTCCGTGATCTTCCATCATGCTCTTTAATTCTTTATGTGTTATGTTATATTCCAAGTTGTGTAAAAAAAATTGTGTACATAATAATAAAACCTAAAAGAATCAGGATTCTTTAACTCGTTACAGTGACGGCTTCAAATCCGTACTTCATAGTCGAAGAGTATATTATTATTAGAGGGTTATTAAATTGAATACTTCTTGTTGGCGTTTATGTGCTCGGATGTGACTGTTAAAACTATTTTTTCTTAAGAAAAATCTTGAATAGAGCGTGCGTTCTAGCACACTAACATTTTTATAGTTTACAACTACAACCCCTATTGTTGTACAAACTACAAGTTTTATAAGTTGCACACTTGATATCATCTAATCACAATTAAATTCCTTTCTTTGGGATGTTTTATATACTAAAGTATTTTGTTATGTTGATTCAGGTTTACCTTGAGGCTAAGGTGGTGTTCAACTTTGTCGCTGCCATTAATACACTGATGAAAAACAGCAGCAACTGTGATGATCAAGCAGAAGACAGGTACCTAGTATTTTCTTTACACAGAGCAATTTCTTCAAAAAAGTGCAAATGTTGTTAAAAAAAAGCATATGTGTTGTTTTCAATCTCTTTATTTTATTATGAATATTAATTTTCCATATTAATTATAAGAAAAATCAATTCTCAATGAACTTAAAACTAAAATCAATTTCACTAGTTTTCTACAATTAAGGGCGCAATTTTGTTTAACTCAAACTATATTTTATATAGTAAAACTAGCTGTGCCCGTTTTAAACCTTGGATAGCATTATTTATTTTACAAATAGGATACATACGTATTTGTATATTAATATTACAATCCAAAAAAGCTTAACAATTGTAAATAAAAAATTGTACTTGTATGTGGGCAGGTTGCAGGGTGTGAGTCGCATGGTGGAGGCGTGTTCGTGGGTGTGCGCCCGCTCTAGTCGCGGCGCGAGGCAGCTGGCCACCGCTCTCACTGAGCACACAGCACATCCAGTCTTCACTACTCTCATGGCCCAATGTAAGTATTGTCCAATTAAAAATCGGATTATTAAACGCCGATCCAACAACACTGTTGTTGGATCGGCGTTTAATTTGTGCGTTGCAATGCGTTGGTTGGATTGTCTGTGTATCTGTCTATGACATCGTTGCTAGAGTAATTAATCAATGAATTATTATGCGGATTTTTTAAATTTTAAAACTGCAATATCTTATAATATTATTATTATTAACGCGGAAGTTGATGACTGTGGATGGATATTTAATTCTAATTAATGGTAATGCATGAGGGTGTGCTATACGGCATATCACGGGCGCCACAGTATGTAAGCTCACTGTTCATGTAGACATGCGACGGTTACCCATTACCATAAGGTCCGTTACCTTAAATGTCATTCTAGTTACCTAAAAAATAAATACATTTTTATATAGCTATTACTTAAATTTGATTCCAGATACAAAAAGCCCTCGTATAGTTCAAAACATAGTCGGACTACTCATAATAGTGTTACAAGACCTACCCGAACACGCCGATGTCGTCGAGAAGATACTATTCGATGACCCGAATTTCAATTTCTTATACCTTCTGGAACAGCCAAATGATGCATTGAGAATGAGAGTTTGTGTATTAATTAGTTTGTTATGTACCTATTCCTGCACAGCTTTCTCAGCTGCCATGGACACAAAATGGACGAAACAGGAGAGTGACTCATTAGAAGCATTACATACACATTGTAACGTAACTTTGAATAGAGCAGCTCGGTTAGCCACGAAAGAACTTAGTAATATGCCTTTTTATGTCCATTAATATTAATCTCCTAATAAAATAAAGCTGTATTACCGCAGGTTGATTAATTAATATTCCGCGTATCTCATACGCGTATATTATATATACAGCGTATAAAGTGGAGAAAACTAGATTAATATATATTTATCCATTCATAGATAGGTATAAAACAAACCTGCGAATGATCTGACTGATGTAAGACAGTTTTAATGATTTTTTGACAAGATGTCAATTAATGTAACTCCGTCTAAAAACAACGATTAAAATTAGGATAAGATAATAATTACTATATAGCTGAAGAGACTTTAAACTGTCATCAGAATTTTGTATTGTATTGTATATATAGACAATGAATTTTACACAATTTTTACTGGTTATCCACAAACCTGATGGTTGTAATGACTTGTACTTTATAAGAACATATTTATCAGGTCAATGACCTTTCGCACTTTAATTTATAGCTATATAAGTATTGACGAGCGATGTTGGTGGCAGTATTTCAATAATCGCGCGGTAGAGATAGAAATAAATTAATTGTACTTTTGCTACGATTAAGAGGACGAAGCAACCTGTAAGCTAAATTGTACTGTATTGCATTTTTACAAAAGGTGCTTTTTATTAAAATTACATTGTTCATGTATTATGTTGTACCAAGTACTATGAAATACCCTGTGCATTGCATAATTATTGTTCCAAAAATAAGACTACTTTTTTAAGTAGCGGTAAGTATATGTTATTGTTATTAGTGGTTATTCCAAAATTCGTGCCATAAAATTATTATAGCAAGCCACTAACGATTTTAAAAGCCATTTAAAATATATTCTCATATTACTTGTAAATACATCGAATATAGTCTTTTTATAAGTATTTTTTTTTTATTTTGCAACACTGGAGAGTTTATTTACTTCGCAAGAAACCCAAATAAATATAAATACCATTTTCATACAAGGAAAGACAGGCTTTATATAATAACAATAATTACATATGTTATCTATGGATAAAAATTATGTTGTCGCTATTTCTTATAAATCCATCGTATAGATAGGTAGGTATACATTCCTTAAAACGATCAAACTTCGGCTTTTTGTTTATTTTTATGAAATTTACTGAACCTGCATTATTTTTATGATGATGAGTTATCACCTTACCTATTAACAAATAAAATGACTGTAAACCATAACATACATTACGAAACACCTATTTACGGATAAACCTGTAATTTGTAATGCATTTATTTTATTTATTAATTACTTTCAAAACTGACGTAAAACTCGTATTCATTGCGTGTTACCTGCATACAGGTGCCCCAAAAGTCTATGATATACTGGAAATGGGAGATGGAAAAGTCATCACAGCTATTAGGAACATAAAATAGTGTTTAAAAAAAAACAACATCTGATAATGATTATTTCAATCTCGTTGCTGTAAACTATAACTTTATAACTTTTCAAAAGTTTGTTAATGCATAAAATTAATACAGATTTTGTAATGGTATAACACTTGCTATATTAGTTACGTATTTGCGCCAATCAAAAAATATCTTCATCCACTGTATTGGGGAGAAATAAGTATTATCATCAATGGGGTCATCCAACAAATGGCCAATAATATGGGTACATGATGAATTTATATAATTTTGTCCAATTCTGCTACAAATAATATAAATTAATTAAGTAGTGACATGGACTTCCGCAAAATAACACCTAATTCGATTAAATAATATGGGTGTTATCGACTGCGTTTACCATAGGTATCCGTAGTTTGAAATGCCATACCGTAGTTTTCCACTAAAAAAAGTATTTGAAACTAGCTGACGCCGCGAACTCCGGTTCAGTATTAAATGATATGTCAAAGGTTTTTTAAAGTTACGCAACAAATTTGTAAGCGTAATTTCTTCATATTTTCTGACTACTTAAACCTTCCTTGAAGTTCTACAAATGTTTTAAAACCAAGATTAGCCAAATTGTTCCAGCCGTTCTCGAGTTTTAGCGAGACTAACAAACGTCATTTCATTTTTATATATAAAAAAATAAAGAAGAAGAATACGATCATCAATGGTTCTAGGTATTTCACATATCTAATGTTTCTAAAGAGTATAAAAATACACGCGATCACTCAATCATTGCAAATAATTACTGTAACGTACTAGGAAGTATTGTTACCTTCCTAAGATAACCAAAGTAACAAAAAATAGCAGTAGTACGATATTTAAAAGTTTTGGGAAATATAAACTGCATGGCTTTGATATAATAGATATTGTAGTCACAGTTTCGGTACTTATTACAACATTGATATAAAGCTGAGTGATAACTGTTTTTGTCTGTTTTTCAGTTATCGTTATTACTTCGTTATATAATTATACTTCTTTATAAACATTTATTTTGTAAACTAATTTATGACATGCGACAAATAAGTATTTCTTTATTTTTAACCAATTAAACAACAAATTATTGTTATTACGTGCATCTATCGGGCGTAGTGCATTCGTAGGTATCAAGATCAAAGACCTGTCTGTCGTGTCGTATCTATTCGCAATTTGTTTTGAGCGCGGTTATTGCACTTTATGGTAGTGCATGGTAGATTGTAGTTACATAACGCAGTTCAGGTGATCGGCCGGCCTCGCGCCGGTCGCCGCGTGCGTTCACCGCCGAACGTGCATGCAAATTTACTAATATGCATTTTATGCACACTATAATCGATTATTTTATACCTTATTTTGGTGCTAAGCGCTCTTTAGATGTTATCTCCGTCGTCAATATGTGGCGATTAACAAACTAAATGCCAAAGACCTCATTGAACTTACGAAGCTTGTGTTGTGACACAGCGGAATTTCGGCATTTATTAGTAGGTTTGAACACAACCTACTATAGTAACAGAAATAGAGACTACATATTACATATACATATTATGACTATATATATTTTAAGATGTAATAATATCTATTATCTGCCAGAAAGTATATACCTACTTTATGTATATATTTTATATTAGATATTATTTAATGAGTAAAACAAGCCAAACATTTTATTAGGAAACTGTTTCGGTTTAAAAGGCAATGTTGCAGTGAAATTACTATTTAATACTCTTTAAAAAATATTAATGAACCCCTGACTACGTGTGATATAATTAATTATATTCTACTTATTATATGAGTAGATGCCACTTTTCATCTTCAGTGAGGTCAATCAGCTCTAAAGTCATAATAACCAAAACAATACAACAGCTTGAAAAAAGCTCGTAGATCTTTTTTACCATACACTCACGCAAACATACAATATGTCCATCGCTATTCATTCGTGAAATATGAGGATCTATAATAGTTTACAGTAAGTTAAAAATAGTATCTAAATTATGAATAACATACTGCAAAATAATGATATAAATAATCACACATACAAATGAAATAATCTCATATGGGTAGGTATAATAAGTACCTACGTAATTATAAGTATCTATTTAATAATCATTTTAAATATCTAACTTCAACTAGATACGCCTAATTATAAAACGTTGATGAAATATGGAGTCGGTCGGTAGATAATAATATAATATATTATAGTGATTAAAACATTAGTAAATAGACGTTTACCATTTTCTGTGTCGAAATAACAGCTCTATTCGAAATATCATCAAGGTAGGTAACTAGTGTCGTTGAACTTTGTTTTTTTCTGTTGCAACAAGCATTGACGTCATTGCATTATTAGTAGTAGGAAAATACCCTGTAAAATAAATATTCCAGCTTTATAAAATTTTCCATTTTTCTAGTTCGTTTACAAGGTTTTGTTTTAATAAAAATACTTACGGTGTCTATTCAAAAATACAAAATAGTAGTGTAATTATTTGATATATTTATCCATTCGATTTCAAAATAAAAATATCTACATACTTGTATATCATACCTATGTATGTTTAAACATTAAACTGATTTCTGTCGGTATATAGAAAATATATGAAAAAGAGTATGAAGGACTTTGTCGAAGTAATAAAAACCAAAACAATAATCTCAGCTGACCTCAGAAATGGTTAACGGATTAACCGATTCATCAAAGTATGTAGTACGTATATATTCTTCATTTAAAATTTAGTGTTCATTTTATTCTAACCGCACTATGTGAGTCGATGTCGGATTCAGTTAGTAAGTATCAAATAATCAACACAATATCACCCTAGTTTTATATTTATATGAAAAAAAGTTAGCTTCGTAATAATTATAAAATATAAAATAGTTATAATACTCCTGGACAATACACACAACGCTATCTAGTCCTAGGTAAGCAGAGTTTGTGTTATGTGTATTCTAAACAACTGATGTAATACTTAGACATACCTGTATAAGTTTCTAAATACATACATAACGTATATAGAAAACACCCAGACCGACACAAAGAATCATACTCATAAATACAAATGTTTATACCGTTCGAGGAATCGAACTTGCGACCATCGGAAGTAAAAAGTAATTTAAAAATAAATCTCATCAAGTTAACATGACATGTAGGTATGTAGGTAGATATTCAAAGTAAATCAATGAACACGTGACTCTAAGACAGATCATCAACCTCATAAAACATGGGTTAATATATATTATGCATACCTACATTAATATATGAATATTAATTTAATGACATCAATTTACTTTAATTATCTACCTATTTACATAAAAACGCTCAATTAACATGCATGAATATATCCTGCATCGTTCACCTGTGTGAGTTCGCACTGAATCTAGCCCTGATTGCATTCTTTAATTTCATTTTTATGATTGAAGTGCGAGCCAAGGCAACAATCAACCGGACACAAAAGTATTTTTTACGTAATTTTAATGGCAAACAACCTGATAGCCCACCCTATATTAAGTGGTAATTTAGATACATCAACCCACTACGAACATCTCGTTATCATCGTTAGCATCACCATTCTGGAGGACAAGATGTCATGTCTCTTATCCTGTCATTTCACTGCCTTTTCTCACCCTACCACCAAAACACAACATACAAATCAAGCATGCGCACTATTCGAAAAATTTTAGGCTTTTCGCATAAAATTATAAATGGTACAGTAATTGTATCTTATTTATAGGTTTACTCATAGATACTTACATTAGTTTTGAATTAAGTATGTCATAATAGATACTAATTATTTCAGGCGTGTACAAGCCTACTATATAAAGCGCACCTGCGTTACTACACCACAATTTATACACATATAAACATGCACCCTAAATAAATAAATTGTTGAAACTATTAATTTATTTAGGGGCACCATACACTGCATTTGCCTTTCTTCAATATGGAGTTATAAGTCAGATTATGTACCTACTTACGTAATTAATATAAAAGTATATAAAAGCACACCACGCATCTGCGAATAATAAGTTAAGCGACGATGCCTCATTATATATTTCTTTCAATATATTTATATACTAGCTTATAGCATTTATATTTCGCACAATTTACACAATATCTTTTTAAATTACAGCCTACTAATGTGTTATTTTGATGTACAAATTATATTACTGTACAATTTCATTAAAATCCGTTCAGTATTTTTTGCGTGAAAGAGTAACAAATATCCAATCATACGTACTGTGTATAATTCAGCTCAAATGGCTTCATTGTTAAAACCATCTTCGCATACAAATTATTTGTTATAGTGTAATCTATTAAATGCCTGTAGGAACAATGCTGTAA